GATTATATTAATCAATTTAACTTTAGTTTATTTTTATTGAAAAATTATTTTGAATCATTATTTTTAACCCAAGTTTTAATTAGTCGATTTTATTGATAGGATTACCGTAACCACCATCATTGATCTCATAAATAATTACTTTTTCATCAAAGAATATTAATTTTATTAAAACGTGTTATGTAAATCTTATTATGCCTTGTTGATAAAATCTAATTTTTGATACAAAAAAATATTATAAGAATAAAAAAAAATAAAGGACCTGTAAACAAGGCATAATCGACTACAATGAATTTTCATACAGGCAATATTTTTCTCAAAAAATGCGGAATAAAAGCATGCAAAATGAGTATAAATAAATACAAGATCTATATTATTATACTTAATATTTGAATAAGCAAAATACGGAGAAACATACAAATTACAAACGCGTATAATCCTATATAAAATATTGACCACGTGCTGTTTGTTTCATTATTTACTGTGGATACAAAACAAATACATTGATGATAAATCGATAAAATAATAAATGTAATAATTGCATTTGATAATATAATATTATAATGATATTGTATCCTACCAGTGGTGGGTAGTGGTGTTCAAAGTGAGTGGTGTGCAATTCTTGCAAAAGTTTATTAGAAAAAAAATTAAGTCTTTATCTAAAATATTATTATAGTACGATATGTATCAAAATATTTATACAAGGTTTTAAAAAATAATTTATGTACCTTCGAATATAATACCTAATAATATGCGTAAATTGTACCCTATTACAAATTGCATTAATTAACAAAAAAAAAAAAAAAAAATTAAACATTTTTATACACGAATTCAAGTCTTTTTCCTGTAAAATTGTAACCGATATGGAACGTTGTGGTTACCGTTGTGTGAAGCGACCACTGCACACCACGGTCCACTTAATTTTCGTTAACCCCCCACTCAATGGTCTAACATTTACACAGATAAACGGTGCTCTGATTGAGCTGCACACCAAATGATGTGTATTTATTACATAACTTCAATAAATTGTAGGAGTAATATTTTCAGGTATAATATAAGCGAATATAATTTTTTTTTTAATTAATACAATATTGTACAATAATTTATTATAGTTAAACTTAAATCGAATAAAAATTGTGTTAAAAATTGAAAATTAATTTTTACTATTTTATCTATATTAATTTATTTGGTGTGCGTACACTTTGCACACCTAGATACGAGCCGCCATTGTATCTTCTCTTATTCGAGTTATCGATCGCAAGTATCGCACTGTATATCTTTGAGTACCACACCTATTTGCATAAGGTGATACACTAATTATATTCCTTCTCAATTTTTCCTTTATTTATGTATTCATATAAATTTTGACATCTGTAATTTTTAATTATACTTAGGTTTAAATACTTAGAATTTTTATATCATTCAAGGAGTGTTTTGTAATTTATTTTTTTACCATTTTTAATCTAAATTGTTTAGTAGACGATTTCAAACAAGTTGCTTCTAAGTTATAAACTTTAAGTAAAGGGCACTATAAGAAGTAAGGATAATAGTTTATGATAATAGGAACGCCAGGGTTGTTTTAAAGTTATAGTAACTATATAATATTAATGTTAATTTATGTTATCCATGTACAACACATATAACTATTAACAATATATTTAATATATATAAATATATTTTAATAGAAAATTTGATAAATATTTATATTTTTGTGAAATCATTGTTAATAACAATATTACGTCTATACCTATAGACTATAATTTTTAATACACAATATATATACACATATAGTTCAATAGATAACTAAGAAACTGTGTACTTACGAATTTGAGAATTCGAATAAAAATTATTTGAAATTGAAATTACTAAAAAAAAACATTTGCTTAAAAATTTACAATAATGAAGGTGAGTTTTCATTTTGAAAAAGAAGATTAAATTGCCCTAAAAAACTTTTTAATATTTGAAATGGTATACAAAAATTTAAGTATTTGTAAATATTGTCATCCTTATAAGTTCTGAAAATCAGAGTTTGAATAAATGCATTATTAAAGGTTAGAACGGGGGTGAACATATTTATAGTGAAACACCCACTATATATTATATTATATTATGTTGTATGAGTACGACTGTGTAAGTGTAATGTAATGTACCTACACAATATGTTTAATTTGAATATGTCTAGTTTAAAATATAATTGCAACACTCACTACACTTACGAGTTTTTTTATTTTATAGTGCATTAATGGCGGCGAAAATTTTACGTTTCACATTGGCGATAATGTTTTGCAAATAAATAAATTAAAACGTGATTAACGACAACAGCGGCGCTGCAATGTATATGGTATTATAATATTATATACATTATTACGACGGTATAATTATTGAAATAATATTATTATAATGTATCTGACGGCAGGCCGAATAACAAATATTATTTTGTAATATTAATTAAACAATGGAAAATGAATAAATTAGCTATATTTAACATTACGATGATAATATAATTGTCAATACTATGCTAATAAATATAATTAATTAAAAATTTAAATATCATATATTTGTCAATAATACGACGCTGTTTTTTTGGTATTATTACTATCTTATTAGTATAGTTATATATTAGTTGATTTGACAAATACTTTGTTAGCAACAAGATTGTTGTCAATTCTAGATAATTTTTTGTTAATATAATCAAGGGTTTTTATCAGTGTGTTATTCGAGTTATCCTTGTATCATTTAATAATATGTTGGTCAGTTTGTGTATTATTATAACGTATTGTGTTGGTATATTGTATACTTAATTTATAAAATAATAAAAAAAAAAAAATAATAATAACAAGTATAAATACCAAAGTAATAATAATTATATTAGTTTATAAGGTATTTATGGCGTTTACACGGTACCTTATTATATTAAAAACTATTAAAATAAATATTACTTTTAAAAGAGTAGTTTATACTTTAGTATATTATATAATCTGAAAAATCCGTGCAATTTTTATGAAAACAATTTTTGAAACAACGTTCTGGTTGTAAAAATATATTCGGTAAAATAACTGAACAAATATTTATGGTGAGTGTTTTAAGCTTATAAACTTTGAAGATTACGCTGCCAAGAATTTCGGGCCATAAATAAAATATTTTAGTTTATTATATTTTGAAAAAAGAATAGTTAGTTTATAATAGCTTAATAAGTTTTTATAATATTATATTTGAGTGCATAATATTATATCTTATATACTACCACGCAATGTCACGGTGAGATATACAAATCTATTATTTAGACGTTTTTGACTCTCTTAGTTTTTATATATTTAGCAAGCGTTGTTTATAAATATCTAACGGATGCATAGTATACGTTATATACGTACAGATTTTAAATTAGTGATCGAGGTTAAAAATTGCATTTTAAGAAATCATTGAATCGTAGTTATTGCAGCGATCTAGTGAGTTCTATTTTACTAAGCATGTAAATTTGAGAACTTCCCAATTTTTTCATTAATGCTATTTTGCAGATATTTCGCGTATTTTTAGGACTATTTCAATGTTAACTGTTAAAAAAAAAAATTAATGCTGATATAAAATGTCGTGAAAATTAAAATAGTTTAATTACTTTTAGATAATTTAGTGGATAATTTGTTTGATTTTTGGGACAAAAAAAAAATAATTTGTTTTGTTAAAATTTAAAAATAATCCAAAAATTACGTAAATTAATGAAAATAATACCTATGAGAATAATTTTCGAAAATTCACAATAATGGAACTGATGCTGCCGCTGCGTGTATTGTTATAATACACTAAATCATAGAGTTGTATAAATATAGGTAAATATATTAGTACGAGTACCTAAATATTGTCATATATTTGTAAATCTATGTATAAAATAAATCTTATTTAAAAATGAATATAGATTTTAAAATTAACAAATTCTACAGCGATTACAGTAATGTACAGTATAGAGTGTAGTGAAACGGAAGATGTTTGAATATTAAAAGAAAAACAAAACCCATTTCCTTGATAATTTATTGTGTTATATATAAGAAACGATAAATACACGATTATATATCATTTGCATCATCTTAAATTTTATTTTATAGATTAGTATTCATTAAGCTGTCTGGTTATGTTGAAATGATCATGTTATTTATTGATAATTGACACGAAAGTTTTTTTTATGACGATTTAATTTGAATTTTTTTGGTTATCAGGTTAATTGCATCGCAAGAATATACTGCATTAGTATTTTTGCATTTAATGTGCAGTGAATGATATCGTATTCCTGAAAAACAACGTTATTTCCTTAAATGTGTATGAGTGTATGTTATTTTGTGTTATCAGCCTTTGCCTCATAGCTTGACGGTTTGTGATTTTTAAAACTTAAAATTCAACTAAAATACTACTTATATCTTACTATTTTGTGTATAGAAACCAGAAAAATTATTGTTTTTATTGAGTTATCGTATTTATTTGTGTTTTATGTTTTTGCGAAGACTAAACGACAAAATAAACAATAAATATGATGTATGATTACAGCCGGTGTAACATTGACAAAATGTATATATATGTGTACACGATATTTAAGTACATTATATTATTGAGTTCACGTATTGTAATATGATAACTTATAAGTATATTAAAATGAAACTTTTGAAATATGAAAATGGTTCAAGTGGACGATTTCTCATATATTACCATCGTTTTGTTGTCCGTCGAATTTCGATGTACCTATATAATCTCAAATCTGCAATAGTGCGTATATTATGAATATAATAATAATTATTGATATGTGTTTGAGATTCATTCAAAATTATTGTTAATGTGCTTATTATTATGATAAATATGATAAAAATTATATTGTCTACGTGGAAATAAATTGATTTTTCGTGTATTAGCTATAAATTTATAATGGTTTATTGATTAATTGATTTTTTATCAGTTCTCATGACGGTGTTTCGTGTTCAAGTGCAGTGATCCGAGTGGCACGTCGGTATTATAGTACTTACTATAAATTACAATAGTATAAATTAGAAACCCATCCAGTTGTCTGACGATACATTATATTAAATTATATGTGCATTTGCCGTTTTCAATTCGAAAGGCGACCTATTCTTAAGTGTAACCAGCCGCATTTGCCATCACAATGTTTGACAAGATACTATCGTCATTCAGCTACGTCCAGCTTTTTCTTCTTTGTTTGCAGCTATCGAACTTCGGTAAGTATAACTGTAAAGTTTAATTTTCATTCTTGGACTTTATACTGGTATTGAAGAACATTATTTTTTTTTGTGGCTGTTACGTAACGAATAAATTTCTTTTTTAAAACTGGTGATTTATTTTAAAGAGAAAAGGAATTATTTATTAAATCATGTATAATTTATGAAATCTATTGATGAGTGACGAGATGAAACATCAATTTCCCGTTAAAAAAATGTATGTATCTATCAAACTAATGACAAATACGGAATGTAAACACGATATTATTTTCAACGCATCGAGTCAACGAAACTGAATTAGTACCTACAATACTTATCTATAATATTCGTTAATGCGTGGCATATTTTTACTTCAACTCTTTTACATAACATGAATGTATATTATTCGCCAAAGAGAGATAAATCTGCGAAGGAATAACAAGTGGTGAGAGTGTGAGATTATCGTGTTTGTTTGTTGTACTATAGTAGGTACCTATAGCATAGCATGCGAGTAAATAATGTTTCTATACTTATAAATGCACTAGATTATACATGTGCATTACATTATAATACAACGTTTTTAAAATGTTAATTCCCCAAACGTTTTTTCAAAACAAATTTTCAAACCATTTTGTTGACCTCACAAAAGCCACTTCTAATATAGCAATATTACTGCTGGTTGTATTATAACTATAACCGTTCCGGTGCATAATATTATTATATTATCGGGTAGATAAATTGAATTATTCTGAAACAATAACGCGGTGGCGATTCGCGGTGTAGTAGGGCAAGAATAGATCCGGGAAGAGGTCATCAATTTAAAATGTAGATCACGCACAGATATTTCCCCATTCGGTTTTGAATAGTTTATATACAAGTACTTCATATGTAATACATTTTTTTCTTTTTTTTTTTTTTTTACATAGGTACTTCTTTTACAATTAATTTAATATCGTTGTTTCCTGGATTTAAGATAGTTTATTCAATTATTTCAAAATCTATTGACGTCACTGTTATAGTTTTTTAATTTACAAAGAAATCGATTATTGTATTTTTTGTTATTTATTAAGCACTTAATATGAATAATTATAATTCCTAATTATAAATTAGACACATAGTTAAATACTTATATCTTTAAATATAGGAACTTGAGTCTTATAACGTCATAAATGGAAGCCAGACGTTTGAGATGGAGAGTATATTTAGATAAAATCGTTAGTCACGTGAGCGTTCTATGCTAGGTAGTTTTTTTTATTCAGTTAAATAAAAAGGTAAGTTTCAAAACCTAAATAGTGCAATTATGAAATATTCGAATTAGTTCATGAGTATAACTGGTATCTGGTATAAACTTTAAGCTTTTAGTTTCTAGTACGTTTATTGGTTATTACATTATTTATGTTGTGCAATTATATGTGTATATAGACACAAGAAAAAAAATTATACGTGAATAATTATATTTAGTATACATTTAGTATTATTTAGAAATGTTAACTGTTGTTAAAGCTTATTTTTTTCATAGGTCATACTATTAAATTCATAATTAAAACTCCAATATATATATATATATATATATTTAGGAATAACGGAAAAAAGTGCTCAGTTTAAGATAGATAAAATCTAATTTTACTGTACGAATAGATATTGATTAATTATAAAATTCTAAAATAAATTAAATAAATAATACATTTTATTTATTAAGTTTTATTGAAATATTAATAGATAAGATGTTTGTTAATAATACATAATATGCAGAAATGAGCGGAGAAAGTGATTGACTTACATACAATTTTTTTTTACAAAATACAAAACAATTCTCGTTTTTCACAAGTCAGTTAACATTCACATTCAAATAAGTAATAAAAATTAAGATTAAATTACTTATTATAGTAAAAATGGTAATATTACTCAAATTGGCAACGTCCTAATAAATACGTTATTGATCATAGACATAAAATGTAGGCAACATTTATACTATTTAATTGTTAAATCATATTTTCTTAGAATTGACTTGAAGGAGTGTATCCACGATGTGATCCGCAGCCTCCCCAGCCACCAATATAGGTTTTGGTAAGGGCAATAAAAGGTGTAGAAGCATTCCTTAATTACTATTCCAAGCACATGCTCTTATCATGTATTATTTTTTTTTTTTAAGGTGTAATATTTATGGTTCTTATAGTAGAGATGGTAGCTAGGTGTATTTACAATATATATCTATACAGTATTTATATATTATATATTTATACTATTTATCGACTTTAAAATCAATTTTAAAAATTACAAGTTTATTTGATATTTATACATTTATACGAGTACACTTTTATATAGATGCTTAATATTATTTTGTGTCTAGTTCAATTTTTTATTTTCTATCATACCTAACAGTCACAAATTTGTTCCTGTAATTTAACTTTTTCGACAACGGTGATCTTGATTTTTCGTTACTTTTTCTCGATTTTTAAGTGATCTTACAAGCCTCGGAAATCTTTATAGCTATACTCGTAAGTACAACGTTTTTTTAAACCACTGATGCATATATAACCGTATAGGTTTTTAGTACAGATACTATTAATATATATATATAACATATATAATCACCATTCACTAGATAATCCGACCGCCATGTATTGTGGGGAAATTTTTAAGGATTTTTATAGGACTTAGGATCGATTGGGCCGAATCAAATGTTATCACTAAAAGCATATAGTATATTCCTATATTATAAAATAATTAAATTACCCAACTCCTCATGTTTCAGCATGAACTGCTCTAATGTACAGCTATCACTTGTCACACTGCTAATGATAACATAAAACATCACGATAACATTAGCTTTTATTTTGATAATAAATCATGATCGATATTCGATAAACGTGTTTTGTATAATCTACACTAATTCTGCTATCATTCTGACTGTGATAAGTTGCGTATATTATTATGTAAATATTACCAGTGCGTGACAAATGGCGACCGTGCATCGGAGATGAAATCGAGTCGGTTGTCTAGTTGCTTTATATTTGCCTGTGCGCATTCCGAACAAAAAGCTCTCTGCCCGGAATAAGTGAAGACCACTGTAATAATAATAATAATAATAATAATATATACCTACTACCTATATCGTGCATAATTATATGTACCCGCACACGTAAAAGCGAATACACCTATACAGTGTAATGTATCAACGCGATTTTTATTTTTCTCTACAAACATAATGTTTTAATGCCATCAGTATTACATATTATTACATTGTAAAGTTATCTTCGTTACATTCGTTTACATGCGCACGGTATTGGCGCTTCGAGAGTCGGATGTACACACGGTTCGGCAGATGCTGCGAGTTTTTGAATATAACTTAAATCGACAAATCGCGCGCGCGCCCGCTACAGCAACATACGTATTTGCAATCGAACACGCACTGCCATAAATTATGATAATATTATGGTATTAAAAAAAAAAATTAAAAATAGGCGATAGTTGTACCGTACATTGTAATATGTGTCGGTGTGGCGTGCGTTATTGATCTACCGAGCGGCGTGTGAGCGTAGTGTCGAAGGCTTCGACTCTCTCGTCCGCCGCCGTACGCATTAATACCACTGTATTTACTATAATATTATCATTTTATATATGCGCGTATTATTATGACGAGCTTGGTCGTATTTTATGAAAAAATATTATTACCGTTCGTGCGGGTGTAGTATAGTTTACGAATACACCGCATACACATAATATCCGCACAGTTTATATAGTACTATAGACTAGCTGTATCCATGTACATATGCGTTTAATACATTATTGTTGTTGTTATTATAATCTATTTTATTTAATTTTTTTGGATTTCCGCACGCGTAATGGGAAACTGCAGCCTTCACTATAGTTAGTTTAGATCTAACGACAAAAATTTAACAAAAACACACTTGTTTCGCAAAAATATAAAACTTGAAAAAAATAACCTTTAAATGTCTTTAGAAAAACGAGGAATTTTGCACGTCTGCCCCGAATGCGTTTATAATAATACCTTCCATTTATATTATTGTTTTCGCCGAAACCCAGAACTCTCTTCCTCTTCTATATCTCATAAAAAAACGTTAAACATATTATATAGGTAACCTCAACGCACGTAACCCGACGCCTTATCGACTTTTTAAAACGTAGTAAACTGCAGACGATAGTGGAAAACGTGTACATACATTATATTACTATATGATACCGAAGGTACGATCAAGTATACTGTGTAGTGCATACGTATCGTTTCATTTTCATTTTCAATTTTGGCGATCGATGATACAATTTTTATTTTTTTTATTTTGGAAATAACAGCTAACAGGATATTATTTATGTTTTATGTATATAATAAACAGGTAGTCACGTGTCAAAATAGCTATTATAATACAGAAAATTCTTGTAAAAATGCGACGAGTTGTTATTTTTACTGTGGCGTGCCATTAGTTGGTAACCAAGGCGTAAGACACTGCCAATGTATTTGTCACAAATTCTAACCGAATAATGTAATTAAATTACTATAGATATCAGCTTGATTTGGCGTCGATGGTTCAGTCGTCCGTCTGTGGTCGAACACATTTTTAGTAGAAAAATGTTAATATTTGAACTCATGGTTTTTGTGAAGGTCTCGATGACTGTAACAATGTTACTCTGGGGTTATACTCTGTTATTGTTAATTAACAGAATATAATATACCTTCGCTATTCAACACTTAAAAAAAATATTGTCTATAGGATTATATTATACATCAATACGAGAATTAGTATAAGCGTAGAAGTTTGAATGGTAAATTCATTAGAATATCGACATTTTTATTTTTTCTCAATATTACCCGACCAACAATTAATTAATTAATCTATATATATATAGATATATAATTTATACCTATATAATACGTAGCTATATAGCTTCTTACAACAAGAACTAATACATTATTACATTTCACATCGAAACATAAACAAAATGATCACGCTGCAAATAGCCAACGTGATTAAATAGTAATTATCTTGTTATGAACTAAAATTATGTATTTACGAGGTTCTATACGGGAACATTAAATTTGTTACTTATACTATTATTTTAATTATAAAAAAATTTATCTCAGCTTATACTATTTCGCCGTAAGTACATAATATAATAATATGATATTCGCCATATTAGATACTTGTTAATTGACCATAACATTTCACTTTTAACACATACGAGTACACGACACGTATAAATCCATTCCGGTAGTATGTAACCTTGACATAATCAATCATACATCACCGTTCTATGTATCTAGATAATGTATACAATTTATTTTTGCCAGCCGTGTTGACTTTCGACACTACATACAAGAGTATAATATGACATAATATATTTTTGTTACCAATGTCGTTGTCGATATAATCACAGTATCCATTATGTGTTTCAATGGGACTTAAAAATTGTGTCGTAGACACACACACACATTCTGTAGGATCTAGAAATAAAAAAAATAACGGGCTAGATACAAATTATTCACCTATACCTATTAAGTCATATATACAATATAAACATAAATAAAAAAATCGATTACAGTGCTCTAACAAGTGATGAATCATATCAGGTAATAGTATATAAGTGTTGTTCAAGAATATTGGGTATCTATAGGTTATAAGTATTTCATATTTTTTTGGTAAATAAACTAATATCAAATTAGAGAGAATCCTTCAAATAGAAGGGGGGCTTCAACCACAATTACCACCACTTGTGTAATCACCCCTGTACACACTTTAACATTTGTATACAGGTATAATTGCAGCGTTTTTAATGTACTTGCTGCTAAATACGTTTAATAACATGTATATATCGCACAGTAGAACAGTATAATTTTTAATTAATGTATTGCACATTTATTTATATTGTTATTAATTTATGTTATTACTTATTTACCATGCATACTTGTGTATATCGTTCCATATTAGCGTCTATTATAGCTTATAACATAATGTATTATATAGTTTGAACAGACTGAACGTATTGAATTCGATTGGGAAAATGAATAATAGGTATGTTATTATTATATGACGTTAATGGTTGGTTATAATATATCTTATCGTATTTTTGATTAATAAATATTACGCGTATGGAAACCAGGAAGTTGGAATGATTTTAGATTGTGTTTTTCCTCACTTCTTTCATGAGTTTTGAATAATTGCTATAATAATAAAATATGATAATGATATTATGATATCATACAACAATAAAAGATAATAATGCAAAAATCGTTTTTTTTAAATGAAAGAATTTGAGTGAAATACCCACGAAAACATCTAAATAAAGGTATGAATTCATAAATCAGGTAATAAGATAATTGTATTTTTTTTAAAAGATGATCTTATTATCATAATAACTTTGCCGATAAGCATTTAAATATCAAAGTTGAAATTTTTTGAACAATAAGGCATATGTCATAAATAAAATGTATAGGTAATGAAAGTCGTAACACTCGATGCAAAATCATAGCAGTGAAAATACCAAAATGTGTAACCTTAAAATATCGAAAAATAAAGCGGTGTACCCACGCATATTATGCGACATTGTGCTGTCATACGAATAATCATCGTGGGCCATCAACGCGACACATATATTTCCAATTATAAGATAAATATCGTTCACCATGAATGTGCGCATGTCCTTTAGACAAGGGAAGCAATACCGTAGTTGGGGAAATTCAAATAACCAAATCGTGATGTTTTTTTAACTGATTTGTTTATTAAATTGTTTTTTAAAATACAATAATAATAATACTAATTTGTGTTCAGTAGATTTGACCTAAAATATGAACCATTTAAAGTATAAACATTATCGTTACTCCTTAGTATATAACTCATTGAAATAAAGCGTACCTGTTATATGATCTGTTTAAATAAATTAATATTAAATAGTAAATTTTTTATTTTAGATATTTGTTCTAATAATATATACAATCATTTAAAAGGAAATGTACCTATCATAAAGCAAATGTAATAAATAATAATGTTGTGTTACACATTACTCATGTATAAGAAAAATTGTAACTGTGTACAATTAACTTAGCTTAGGGCGTACGTGTAAATCGTAGATACAAATTGTAAGCTTTTAAAGTTTTAATGCATTAACTACATTTAAACTTGTCAGGATTAGGTTTACGTTTAAAGAAACCTTGTAATGTTTTTGTTCTAAATTTATTTGTACTCATATTATTTACTAGCTGATAATAAAATCATTTAATACAGATAATTAATAAATTAATATTATGATTTTAAAATGAACATTAATAATAGTATATAAAATATAAATCATTAATAATAACTAAAATAACACAATTTAAAATATAAAATAACTACCATATTATAACTTTGTGGTTTTTCATTTGATAACAATATTCTGGCGCTTAAATTGCATTATCAAATTTGAGTGTTTGACTGGTTTGAGATTAGGTATACCGTATGTGTATTCGATATATTGAATGTGCTATCGGTTTTTTCATTGAGCAAACCAGTACAATCATACAGCTGAAGCTGTTTTATCATAGGAAAAAAAATACATTATAATTAATATATTATATTTATAATCATATTTTGATTGCACATTGAAATTTTTTCTTTAAAATAGCGATTACTTTAATAGATTTCGATGAGAGGGGAGAATAATCTAGCAGAGGAGCCAGCTGCCTCCCTTGCATACCCCGTGTGCATGCATATGCGTTCAATAAATCCTTTTTTTTGTCTACTAAGAAATCGTAAAAATATTTATATAATTTTTCAATGATGAATTATTATAGAACGGCTAGCAAGCTAAAACTTGGTTAACATCTTTAGGTTATTGACTATTGTGAATGAGTTAAATTTTTAAACGCATCCTCAAAAGAAAATGGTCACGTGATCTTTTCTTAAATTTACATTATACATTTATTCTTATTGTTTATGTAAAAAAAACAGAATAGAATATTTTCTACTGAAAAAAAAAATTAAAAATATCGCTTCAATGTATGATTTAAATTTATATAATTTATATTGGCATTCGTCATCGTTATATTAATGGAGGCGGTAGTGGGACGTGGGTGACGCGCATTGTCACTATATAATATCTTATATATTATGCACATTCGCACAGACTATTCATCGAATGCGACATTGACAATAGTCAACAAGTGTCGTTTACCATACGAGATAATATATTTTGTGTATAGGAGAGGTTTGTTTCGTTTTAAAAATGTCGATGCAGATACGTACGTGATGCAGATGTGTACATTTTCATAATATTAAACATAATATGAGATTTGAACGTGTATATTACAAAATACGAATGTATTATATTATTAATTATATTAATGTGACATTTTGTGTACGTACACAGTTGTGGTGGTACTATAATATTATGTAAAAACCATTATAGTGAAATGTTTATTTTATTCTTACAGTGTCCTCAACTCAAGTATACTCATATGAAAATTTGTTTCACGGAAAAATAACAGAAAACAACGAACTAGACCAATACTCCACGACAGACTCCCATCTAATCGAAGTAAACAAATCTGTGACATTCTGGTTGTATACAAAGTAAGGGATAGGGATGAAATTAAATCGTTGTTTTGTTCCAACGGCAGCTATTTTTTTTAAGTTTAATTTATCAACAATACAGTTTGAAGCAGTATTTGATTAAAATAAAAAAATTGTTCATAAGTAGGTACTTTATCTGCTGACATAGAAACAAATTTTTATCCAGATATAGTTAATAAATATATGCAATACAACCATTAGACTCTTTTCTAAACCTCTTCAAACCCCTTCAATTGCTTTTTTCATCTAACTAGGTCATTAACAGTTATTGGTTTTATTAAATTAAAAGGGAGTTTACTTCTGTAAGACTCCTGAATATATGATATATAATGATTTATATATTTATAATATTATAATATAATAATAATAATAAAATATAATAAATAATAATATTTATATTTATAATGATTGAAAGACTATAATAAATACAGTTTTTCAAGTTCTTAAAAATCAATATAAATAAAATGCTTTTCTATAATACTAATTTTTTTTTATGACTTTCTTCTTTCATGAAGAAATTTTGCATACGAGCTTGATTATACAAGATTGTAGAGTAATTTATTATTGTTTAGTTACTTATCACATTTTATCTAAATATTAAATGCATAATTATCATGCATTATTATACTTTATATCAACATTTAAGCGGCATATTTTGTATATTTAAAAAATGTTTCACAATTAAAAAAAAAATAAAGGAAGATTTGTGAAAAATGTTATTGTCCCAAAAGTGGAGGTTTACTGAACCAAAATTGTATTACACTTTAATAACGATTTATAAAAAATACTACAAAGTAAACGATTTGAGCGTATATGGACGAATTAAAAAAAATTATGTTGAATTCGCGATTTAGATCATGTTTTTTGAGAAATAATAATGAGATTTTGTGTCCAATTTCTAGACTTCGGCGAGATGAAATTTTTGAACCTCTCTTTCCATTTGCGTAATATGTATTATTTTAATCCTCTACATGGCAGATGAGAGCAAGTTTGAGTTCACTAACCGTTGCTTATACTGTTTTTAATACACCGCTTGAATTTCACTAGCCAATCGCGTTATCATAATATTTATAATATCCCATACGGGAAAGCTTATAGAGTGGTAGAGTGTTCTGTTGCACTGGTAGAGGATCGCCACCATTCCTCTTTTAATCTATAATATCCGTGGCCACACGATTTATTCTTGTACAGTATAGACGGTCGGTATTCATTATGCCGTCTTCATCACGGGAGCTCAGATTTTCAAAACGGAAATACGCGACAAACGCGTTTGACCTCTATAAAAAAATCTTACTCTCACTATTTATGCGTATTGCAAAAACAGTATACGCGCATCTCGTTGCGATACACCTATTAATAACCTGATTCGCGCATTTGACTAATTTATTATCCATCTCATTGAACCTAAGTTGATTTGCTCGTTGCTCCGTTTTTTGTTAATTAAGTCTATCAATAACGGAATCGTCGGATAAATATGTTATTAAGTTTAATATTTATATATTTACAGAGATGTGTGATTGAATGAAAAAAAATATTGATAAAATTTAACAATAACATATTTTGGTCACCTAGCCTAGTCTTTCTAGTCACATATGACAGTGTAATGCACCAGGTACTTCAAATTTGTAGAGTAATAAGTGTACGACGTAGTAACTTACCTGTAAACAGACACACGTGAACACGAAAGTATTTTTACTGTTAAATGTAATCATTTACAGAACAGTTTGACATTTCTTGGAACGGCTAGCGCTATCTACACGTTGCGGGCGTAGTTTCAACGCATTTAACGGTTTGTGTATTTTGTTTGTAGAGAGCACCCCGAATTCAGTCTCAGGCTGGTGCCCAACGACCCAACGTCGTTGTCGTCATCGGGTTTCAACGGCAGTAAACCGACTAAAATCTTGATACACGGTTGGTTGGGTGACAGTGAAAGCGAGCAGAGCGTCTGTTTGACTTTGAAGTCTGGTGAGTCCTTATAGACTAAAATATATGATATAGTTATTAGTTAACAGTGATGGTGCACATAAGGAGCCAAGCTTGAATTGGGTTAAAGATCGGTGTAAGATAATTCAACGGGCCAACGGTAGTTAAACGCTTAATCCGCTTAATGCAGTGCAAGGTTAGGTTAGGTTAGGTTAGTGTTATACACAGCTTATAGATACGGAAAGTACCTCTATTCGAATATTGACTAACGGAGAAACTAGGAAATTGTTTTTAAAGATAGTGTCGGTCGACATAGTGTGTTCAGTACGGGGGTGGTTAGTCGTCGGCATTGCAGTTCGTTGATCTTATGGTTTTTAGAATGGCTGGCTATGACGTGGAACGCGCGATTTCTCCCCTCGGATATAATTGGATCTCGAGTCAATATCGATTTTATTTGGCCGTCGATAATAAATCGCACGCCCTGTATCATAAATTAATAATTTAGATAGGTATCAATAACTATACTTTGTATACAGTTCCGATTTATTACGTTTTATTTCGGGTTTTACTTCCCACTGTAGGTTATAATGGGACATGGGTGTGTTGGTCGGGAAAATTTGATTTGAGTCGTAGTTTTCGTGATAAAACTAGATTATTTCGCAATCAATAAATTCAAGACTCTAGTTATAAATATATATCATATAATATATAGATACATTCGGTAAATTATGTCGATTAGTTCGATCATTACTGAGAATAGGCTGTCAGGCCATCCGGTCGAGTGCGCCAAACATCCAAGGTTATACGTTCGATGGAGATGTGTGTCAACAGCATATTATGAAAACCGTCAAACACTGCACAGTACCTATAGTATAATAATATATAATAATATGATATATAATGCGTTGTCCAATAGTATAATAAGCGATTACTAAAAGAAAACAATTTGACATGTCTTGATAAAATAATTATAAAAATATCACCTATTCTCTTAAGAATTTTAATGGAATTGTATTTGCTTATTGTACTTAAAACCAATTGGTGTAGATTACTCACAGTTGGTTAAGGTGATATTTATAAATATGACACAACTTATATCTTTGGCACTCGAATAGCCATTTGTACTAAAACAAATCGATAATTAAAACGGGTAAAATAGACAATTTATAAATTTATAATATTTCGACTTTGAAGTTTTTCTATTGGGAGGATACTTCATTCCGTAATGAATCGTATCCTTTTTTCATACACAAAATTATATTCATTTTATTTGATATAGATATTTAAGTAATAGATTGTGTAATTAAAATGTAAAAAAAAAAAAAAAATAATACCTACTTGCACGGAGCAATATTGAGTAGCGAATAATAAAATAAAAAATACAAATTGACCTTCTGATTTAGTTTTGACTTAGAAGTTTGGCTACTTTATCTTTTATTTTATTTTATTAATTGTCATGTATTAGGGCTCCAATTTCTGAATCTTAGTTATTATTTATTATGAACATCGTGCAATAGTACACTATAGATAAATCCAAAATTTTTATTTCTTTGGTTGTATTCATTTACAGGAAATGAGTGAGTTAAATTTACTGTACCATTTATACATCTATTCGAGTAAGGTATAAGAAGATATTGTTAATGAAATATTATATTAAGTTATGCTTAATGGTTAGCGTGGGTAGAAAAACAATAATTTATTTTAAGCGCAATGATAAATTCTAGGTAGCAATTCATCTATAAATTCACCACTGGTGGTTTTTAGTTTTGTCAGAATTTTTTTTCAAACAATGTTGATGAATTTAAAACTTTTCTAGAATATTTTGCATTGTTCGATTACAATGTGGTGTGCGTGGATTGGAGTGTTATTGCATTGGATTTTCCGTACTTTACGGCCTGGTTGCGTTGCAAAGAAATCGGAAACTATATAGGGGAAATGATAACGACGATTACGGAAAACACGTCTCAGACCAATGACCATATACATATAATAGGTTTCAGCATGGGCGCCCATATTGCTGGTTTCGCCGGTAAACGGCTCGGAGGAAAAGTACATAGGATCACTGGTATGTACATATAATAATTCTTATCTTATATCTAAGTTTATAACATATAACATAAATGTAAATTCAATATCAATAACTATTAATTGTTTTTCATGATATTAACAATTTTCGATGGAATAATAATAACAATGTAATATAAGACAAGAACTGACAAGTACTTATCTGCATAATATATAATACACTGCTACACTGCAGGCTACGTATTTGAACAAAATATGTATTTTTTCTAAAGAAAATAGATTTTTTTTTTTGAAAACGATAATTTTGCAGATTAATTTTACTTTATGTTTCGTAGTATTTTATTAAGTACATAAATACATAAGTATTTTTTTAACACATTAAAAGTCTCGAAATGATTATTTTTTTATCTAATAAGAACAGTCAAATGTGTTTGAATAATAATTATACAAATAAAAAACCTGAATATTTGAGGAAAATTTTGTGCTATAATATGTGCGAATATAATAGATATGTTGACTTAAAAATATCTTTAAAAATTATTTGATATATTGAGCGGATATTTGACAAAAGATTAAATTGTTTAACTCAATATTAATAACAAATGGCAAAATAAAAACAATAATAGCTTTGTAAAAGATTGGGTTAATGTGCATACAAAATTGAATATTTTCATAATTTTATTCCGATTTGTGTTTGAACGGAAATGTGCATATTGTAATTTTAAACAAGCCGTACATTTTCAAACAGTTATAATTTGTCATTGTTATACATAGACAATATATAACTTGAATGGGTTCCTCATAGATGTGGTTTGAGGTTTTAAATTAGAATGAAATAAATACAACTCTCACACACTCACAAATACTAAATCTAATTTACTGATGAATATTACTAGTAAATTACATGAAATACAAAATTATGAAATATTTAAATAACATTTTTTTTTAGACAAGCTTTATTTTTACAAATATAATTTGTCACTAGCGATTGTTTTATTTAATATTGTAAAATTATTTACAATTCTTTATCTTGATAAAAAGTATTTAAAAATATTTGAATGATACAGTATCATACAAAAATATAAAATACTCACGCTAAATTAGCATTAAATAACTTAATATTTAAATAAAGTATATAATACCTTGATAAAGTAATATGTCAACCGCGGTGATAAATGCATTAATATCATAAATACTTCTGTTAAAAAGTGTAATGTTCACATTTTTGTGAAATGTTTCTGACTTTATATAGTACAGTGATGGACAAATTACGTCTTGTGCTTGGAATTGCGTTTACATTAATTTTTACACACTTGCACAGCTATTATTTAATATAATATAGACATATTATAGTTTAATAGTAAATTAATTCAATTTATTTTTACTCTTACATTTTTAAAACAGGAAAATAATCGTGTTTTATTCCAAAATTGTAAACTGCACGTATATATAGGCGTTTCTAACAGTATACTTGTTTGAGATAGAACAACTTAACCGGTAACCTTTCGAAAAAAATGTGGATATCTACTAATGAATATTATATAATGTACTTCATTATTTAATTAATCATTTAATGTAATATATAAAAATTATAAACTTAATAGGTTGGTATATAGTAGTATGATAAGTCGAAAGCAATAATAAATAAATAAAACAACAATTTTACTAAGAATAATTATGTGTAATAATTGAAAATTTATATATAAGTAAAAGAGAAGTTTAAATTAGCTATAATGACATACATCGGTGATTATCCTCTCGGGATAGTGTAGGAGAGTCAATCGTATGAAATGGGTAAGTGATTTTTCATACATAGGTGACGAATTTTAAAACCTTAGGTTGAACGTTGAACACTTTGAATTTTACAAAGGCGGTATCGAAATCCTATAGAACAGAAACATATTTTAAATTTCTAAATAGTCTTACAATATTGTAAAATATATGGTACCATTAAACAGTCTATGAAGAGTAATGCATATAATAAAATCAGGTTCGTGTTGTTTTAAACGAGTTTTTTTCGTTATGTATGATGAAGAAAATAATAATCACATACTTAAACAACATAAAGTAAATAGTAATACGCTTAAATCAATGATAACGTTTATACTTTTACTATGAATACTATTATGAAAACATAGCATCGTTCGTTTTTCTGAGTATACAGTATCATTGTTAACGACATTTTTTTATACGTCTAAAAATTTGACTAACCCTGCAGCACTATATTGACTTAGTGCATGTGGAAAGTTTCACGATTGAAAATGATTTATTTTAAACACGTGTATACACGTTCCAGGCTTGGATCCCGCCAGGCCTTTGTTCTTCAGTAAACATCCTACCGAGAGACTTAACCAAACCGATGCGCAATTTGTGGATATCGTGCACACGACAAGTTTGGTGTTGGGGCAGCATAAACCGATAGGAAATATCGATTTCTATCCGAATGGCGGCATCACCAGACAACCGGGCTGCAGATACGATTACGGTATGAGCGTACAACAATATTAATGACGATAAATATTATTGTAACATTAACAAGATTATTTCGTAATGTCAAATTGCGCAAGGGGTGTAAATTAACGTTATTTTTTGGAGATTGATTTCCAACATTTCTTATCTGTGTTTATTGATCAATTATAATTTTATAGTTTAAATATGCATTGTTCCTGAAAATAAAGATACCGTACATATTATATTATATTTATTTATACACTATATTTAAATATTATAATATTTATAAACATTTTTTGCCAGTATTATAAATTGGAGTGTTTAAAACTTTTTATTATTATTACTAGATATTATATTTAAATTTTCGTTCACACTTTTTCAGGCTTAGAGTTGACAGTATTTTTACACGCATTTGATATTTTTTGATGTAATTGCATACAGATTTTTTTCTTCTTTTACATTGCAAATAACCGCGTTCATATAAGAGATCAGAATTTTCAATCTAATTTTTAAAATCTACTATTATTGTTTTGTATAATTATTTAAAAAAATATGTTGAACATTTTAATCTTATAAATAAATGTTGTTATTAAAATCTTGAAAACAGAAAAAAAATTAGTTGCGTATAAATCAGATACAGATTTAAATAAAACTGCTTGATGATAATAGTCAACAATCAATAATTAGAATAAATAAATTTATTGAACCACCAAAAAAATAATAATAATACTTTATTGTATTATAATATTTATAAAGAAATGTGTAATTTTAACTGAAATGAATATAAATTATATTACTATTGTTATTATAAGAACTATGTATAATAATAATGAACTTTTAAACACGCCAGTAAAAATTACTGCCAGTCATAATTTTTAAATCTTGAAAAGTGTGAAGGAAAGTTGAAAAATATATCCAACAATAAATAGTAATAATACACTTTTGAACTCACAAGTATACACATATATTTTAATGATAAATATTACATAATATTAATATAGTTTATATAATGTATCTTAGATTGCATAGATAGATACTCGTGTAGGTCGAAATAAATTAACTGTAAATGGCACGAAAAATGTGCTGTTTAAAAATAATATTTCACTACCTATACTAAAAATAATCAAAATATTCAAAAAATAATGTATACGATAAAAAATTGTGAATTGATTGGTGAAAGACGTCGATTATTATTATTAAACGTTAACCGGGAGATTTCTCTGTTCAAAATCGTGGTTTGTCGAGATTATCTCAAGTTTTATGAACTTATTTTAGTGTACGGCGAGGTGTGCAGTCATTTTAAATCCTATGAGTTTTATGCGCGGTCCATCCGGTCTAGAGACGAGTTCAAATCGATCAAATGCGACAAATGGAAAGATTACGAGCAGTCCAAATGCGAAGATTCTGAGAATTACACGTACATGGGTGAATACGCAAATTTCAAGTAAGTGTTTTGAATTTATGAAGTGATAACTACGATGCATTATTTTGTTTTATTATTCAATTGTCGAATTGCAGTTTTCAAACGGATTTTTTTTATTTTGCTACGATACCATTATTATTATTATTATTATTATTATTCGTTCTAAATATTTTTAACACATATTATAGTTTTATTGATACTATTAAAAGTAAATAATGGTGAATTTAACATATATTTTTTTCAGTTTTTCTGGCAGTTATTATTTATCGGTTCCGTAAGCTGCAGTAGTGCCGAATGTATCCGTTATAATCATACAAATATTATTAAAATTTTTTTTTTTAAATGGTTTTGTCTATACATTAATTAATATAATACGCATAATAACTACATCAGTTTTACAATGTTATGGTGTATGTTTTATATGTATATTGTTTATATTTTAATTAATATCTGTATTCTAATAGTTTTAATTTTGTATAATCATTTATCATTGTTTATTATATTATTATGATATTGTTCATGCAATTAAAAAAATATATTATACATATACTAATAAATAATTATTATTATATTAGTTAACATTTCAAGAAGCGTATAAGCTCACAGGTTATCGATATAACTAAATCTGGGATTTTAATGACCCAAAAAAATCTCCAAAAATGCGAAAATGATTTTAAAAAACACAAAATATGCAAGTTAAAAATGCATTTTTATATATTTATAGTAGCTAGGTTAAATATGTCGTACAGTATATGCTATATTTTACAGTCTTTGTAACAGGTGCACCAGTGAAACGTTCATTTTTAAATTAAAATTGATCAACAATTAATTATAAAGCACAATGTGTAAAAAAAAAAATTAAATGCACTTGGAATTCTATCTATAGAAAACGATCAAGCATATAAATTAAATTTAACAGAAGTAATTAATAATTTTGCAGTACAAAATATACGCATATGAAATTTTAATTGAACTGCATGTTAATTTTATTGGTTAAAAATTTAAATGTATAATATATACTAGATTTTCAAACGGTTTCATTATTTTAGAACAAAAATAGTTATTTGAATTTGAATTTATGGATCTATAATTATATTAATTAGAACTAAAAAAGAAAAGGGCCCATTTTTGAGATGAATCTCCACTGTTTACTAATTACCTGCACTAGTAAACATTTTTTTATGTGTTTTTGGTCTTTGATGCTCGGACCATGTATACTCATAATTCATTATATGTATTAGAGCAGCGGTTCTCAAACTTTTTATTTCGCGTACAACTTAAGTATATTATTAATCAGTCACATACCACTGATGATTAAAAATCCTACCACCATGCGGCCTTCCGCGTACCACCATGTAGTCTTTTGCGTACCACAGTTTGAGAACCGCTGTATTAGAGTCTAATATATTTTCCTAAATGTTATCATTGATTGTCATCTTGATTTATTAAGAATTTATAAATAAAATATATTTTTATAATTTACCTAAAGAATTATTTTTTATTTCATTTTTATCAAAAAAAAAAAATATATATATATATATATATATATATATATATATATAATCTGTAATTATTTGACACAGTATAAATGAATAAGATGATAATACAATATACATAAAAAAGATTATATGAACACATGAAAAGAGAAGTTATCCAATGATGAAACTTTTCAAAAAAATTGGTTTATTTATTAACTAATTTTAATCTCGCTTCAGTGAGTTTTGAGGCGGTGTGGATGGTTGTTAGGAAGAGTGCGTGATGATAGGCGAGAAACCAAAGGGTTAAGGTGGTGATGAAGTTTTAAGTGAAATATTCGGTAATGGCTTTTGGTAAACTGAACAATAGTTTTCATTTTAAAGTCTTTGTGTAAAGATTCATTTGTTATGTACCAGGAGGGAGGTTATTAGGCAAAAAGTGATAGACTGAAGGGCGCGTTTGACAAGGTTTGTCGCATCCCGATATTTGCATACCGTAAGCTAAAATAGGTCAAAATAAATAATATACGCATGCGTGTAATGTATATATAATATTTTATCAATTCTTTTAAAAATAAATACCTTTTGAAAAGTATTAAAGTTTTTGAAAATATTTTTTACATAACTTGAAGTTAGTATAAGCGGTAAAATACGATTGAGAACGCTCGAGGTTTTTTATTTTTTCTAACGTTGCCAAATGTAATCAATCGATAATATGAGAAAAATAATCTGTTGATATTTATTAGACTTTTGTAGGTTTAGTTAGATATTAATAATACCTAACTTAGATACCAGATACGAGAAAATTATATAATAGTCAATTTTACAGCTCTCATCCAGCAATATATATTAAATAGTTATTAAAGTTTTAATTAAAACTCAAGTAGAAACAATATTGAAAATTGCTACGATATAGAGTAAATAAAAAGAAATACCTAAAAAACAAAAGAATAAAATACTTAATATTCATAGTAAATATATTTGGTATGTGGGAAATAAAAGTTTTAATAATTTATTAAAATATTTAGTCTATTTAGAGTATGTTGGCTTACGCTATCCCGATATAACTGATATATAGGTAATTAAATTGTTATTACATAATATTTATTTATTTCATTTTTATAAATATATATTTCAAAATTTTATAAGTTCTACATATTTAAAATTTTTTATTTATATTATATATTACATATTATTAGGCGCTTATTTATATACGATTATAATTATTAATTTATGATTTTTTTCCAAAAATATTTATTTTATGTATACAAATTTTTTCAAAATCCAAATAAATGATATGACAACGTTGCACGTAAATTCGTTCTCAATCGTATTGTTTTTTTGGGGGTCAGGGGTAAATTCTTTGTTAATTTGAAGTGTTCTAAATCGTTCGGTCAAAGAGGTATAACGTTCTCAATCGTTCGATAGCCAGTATAAGTTGTATTTTTTTAAAACAGACGTAGAGTAAAACTAATACGCAATACTTATCTTAAAAAAGAACTTGAAGAAATAATATCTAAATTAATTTTTTATTATATTATATACGCATAAGTAATTAATAATTACTATTTACTACTATTATATGTATAATACAGTTATAATAGATTTCCTTGTTTGATCAAATAATGTTATCTAAATATTATCTTAATTGTATAAGAATTTAATAAGACTATGTATATTTTATTATTATTTTTTATAAATTCATATTATTGACATAAACACAAGTGTGTTTTAAAAAAAATTGTTTGATTGAGATCGGTGCTTTTGTATTTAGTCTTATTTATGACTGTTTGATTATCACCGACTACAATTTAATATTTAAACACCGTGAAAACGACTTTGTCGAAATGTTAGAAATCTTAAATCATCAAATTTCAGTAATAACTTTGTTATGCATGATTACCGTTTTGGTTTTTACCAACGATATTTCATCGGAAAGCGGTAAGTTGTTTAATTAATTTCACATTTTTACGGTATAAATTGTACTAGGTAGGTTCTTGATTGGTACTACATAATATATGTTATATAAAATAATATAATAATTTCAAGAATTATAAGAATAATTGTTAATATAATCTTATTGGTACCAAATAATTATTGTTTATATTAGATAATTTAAGTTTTGGCTTTAAGTTTTAGATTTTGAGCGGAGCGATAAATGTATTGATTGTATTTTAATATACGTTATTTTTCTTGTCATCATCTTTTGGTGCAGTAAAAATGTTTCAATTTTTAAGTTTGATGATAGTTTATGGTAGTAAATATCCAATTTGTAAATAATTCTTAATAATTTTCTTAATATTCGGTAAAAACAAAATAAAATAAAAATTAGAAAAAGGAGAATTTTTACGTTAAATAAGATTGATTTCTTTATTTTATTAGAATTCAAAAATCAATAATTTAGAATCTCGAAATTTTCTTAAATTTATTATAACTTTCTATGTATAATATTTAACAAATATTTTAATTTTTTGAGCAATTTATCAAAATTAGAATTTTTTTTTTCTATAAATGTCAATTAAACATTTTTCACTCACTTAAAAAGCTTGAAAATCTTAGTCAAGGTTCTTAATATTTAAGTTGTTAAAAGCAAAAAATAAGTATAAGATCTATGAAAATTAGCTGGTTCAAAATTCTTGAAAACTTAATATTAAATCCTACAAAATTTTTTTATATTTGTATCAGAATATTGAAAATATATAAGCATAATTTTTATAACTAAGATTTGAAAAATAAATGCTATGGAACTGAGACTAAAATATTAAAAAAAAAATAAAATAATTTTATATTTGAAGTTAAAATTTGAACGAAATTAAATATTTAAGCTTTTATTTAAGTTATTAAAATAAAATATTTATTATTTTGTCATAATTTAAAAATATTATTCATGGGAACTTAGAACTTATATGTATATAATTTATTTAATTATATGTAAAGACATTTTCAAAATATGTAGATTGATTTTAAGATATTACTTGTTTAAATCATAAACCTATTCACTTTGTTTTAATGTAAGGTGGTATTGATTCAAAAGTTGTTATAAATATATTTTATACAATAATTAAATATTAATATTATAATATATGTAATATTTTAGGCAAAAATTAAGTAAACTTATTATATAATACTAATAGTGAAATAAATTAATTTGATAAAAATATCAAAAAGATAATATGAAATATACTCAGTAATATAGGCTGACAGGTCCGTCTTCACTCAGAATCATTTTTCGTATATAATGATTTGTTATTGAATTCAAATTTAACACATTCATTTTAGTAACCTACTCGATACCTAATGTATACCAAAGCGATACCGACTTGTCCACCTTTTAAATGTTGCTTTAAAAAAAACTAGGGTAAGTCTTTTATTGAAGTATGAAATATAATATAGTCATTAAAATTAATTAAATATATAAATATGTTACGTGGAAGAAATAGATTATAATTCATTTTTTTCAATTATATTAAATTTATTACTATTAGTGAAAATAGTTATACTACTGAGCATGAAAAGATAAAATCAAAAACGGGTTTGACTTGGATTAAATTCACATGCGTTATATGCACTTGAATAATAATATATAACTATATAAGGCCCAGATTTTTATAGAACAATTGTTAAATATGCACATATTTATGCACTTAAAATTAAAAATTATGCAAAAAATTCTTTATTGTATGTAAAAAAAAAATTAAACATCTTAAAAAAATTACAAAACATATTATGTAAAAAAAAAGAAATACAATTTAAATATCAGTATACTTCTGCTTGTAAATGTATATAAACTATTATATCTACTGTTTAATTAAATAAATGCAAAATTAATTATGGAAAATGTAATATCTATTTTAGAGCAAATACCAGCGTGAAAATACAAAATGTTATTTTAAATTTTCGAATTGGAAATTTTTACGATTGTCATGTAGCATAAATTTATATTTTGAAAAACTTCTTTTTACGTCACAAGACACGATAGATATATATTTAAAACACGAAATTTCTTTAGGTGACAAATCTTCAATGCCTTTCTTATCGTTGCTTATTTCTTCGCTTAGTATTCAACAAATTTTTATGATTTAATAATATCCTGGATTCTTTGATAATACTTGCATTAGTTTAAGTTTAGTGAATTCCATCTCGTTTACATGACTTTAATATTTTGAACCGATGAGATGGTTTTTGTTAGTTTACGTCTGATTTTTATATTTATCAGATGGTTTCTGTGATGCATTGAAAATTAAATAATATTACTGCAAGTTAATTTTTATTGAATTCTTTATAATAAATCTTGAAATTTTTGAATAGATATTGCATCGTTTTCATTAAATATATTGATAATTTCTTTGACTTTATCAAAGTTCTTATCATAATAGTAAGATACATTAAGCTGTGTTCCTCAACTAGTAATAACAAGCTGTGGCAATAAACTTAAATTTTGAAAAATTTTTTTTAAAATATTTAAATTTAAAAAATAAATAAATGTATTTAGTGAATTAGAGCAAAAATAAAAAAACATCAATTATTTAAAAAAAAATTAAACTTTTAAGTTATTTTTACTAAAATATGCAAAATTATGCAAAAAATGTTTAGTCATAGAATTTGCATGATACAAAATGTTAACATTTTGAAATAAAATAATTTTAGGTGAATTGTAGAAGAATATGCATTTCCATAAAAATCGGGTACCTAATAATATAATTGAATATTAAAATATTGTATAATATCAAATATATTTTTAGAATAAATATTAATTTTTACATTTATTCAGGTTCAGTCGATAAAGAAAATGAATTTTATGTTGGCCGAAAAAATTATCACAATGATGAATTTTATCATAAGGAAGTCAGACTTTACCATACATCGAAACATGTATTTTACTGGCTTTATACAAGGTTGAATTTTTAAATAGTATAAATAATATTTAATAATAAATGGTTAAATTTGATTATTAAATAAAATTGATTGTAATTTTTTCAAATTTAAGAGATTTTTTTTTTTTTGCATATGGAAATTTAAGAGATAACACCAGCGGTCAACTTTTAAACAGAAGTGAGGAACATATGATCGAGTCGACGACGTTTAACGAAAATAATCCAATTAAAGTTATAATTCACGGTTGGCTTGGCACTACTCAAGAAAAAGAGGGCGTTTGTTCGTACAACGTAAAATGTAAGCTTTAAATTTTTTATATAGTAGTGATTGGAAAAATATACTTTTTGACTTTTTCCTAATACTTATTAATAAATAGCTTATACCTGATTTACCTATTATTATCAGGTATAGTCTAGACCATCTAGAATTTTACAGGATCTCGTATTTTTTTTTAATGATTTGTTATTACTAATTTGTATTTTTTTAATAACAAAATTTAATTTTTGAATTTTTAAATTATTACTTATAGATTATATTTTATAAACCATAATTTATGAATTTCAAATATAAGTTTTAGAAAAATAAATATGTCTATACAGTGATGTTCCTACCTACCAAATTTGTTGAGTGTATACTCGGCACAGTCTTAATAATTTCAATTGAAAACAATAGAGTGCTAAAAAAAAAGATTTTCCATGTACCGCATGGCGTTATTTTCTAAATAACAATAATAATTTTTTTTATAAAATTAGATTTGGTCTATTCAGTATAATTATGTCATCATCATAACATTGGATATACAATTTTATAATTATTATCGGTATTGCCAGTTAATTATGTACTAATATATTATGTTACTGTTGTTTCTAATCGACGACAAACAATGAATATCATCATAAGGTACAGCTTTCGTCAGCCTAAAATAATTTCCGTACTCAAAAAACAATATACAGTGAAACCTCTGAATAGCGGACACTCTTGGTCACCAACATTTTGTCCGTTATTCGGAGGTGTCCGTTATTCAGAGGGGATACATTTTTGAAATCTATTTGTATAATAATGTACTATGTATGTATATATACATACATACAGTGGCGTTTCCTGACTTTCGGCGTTAGGCGTTAATGTGTGAGGAAAACAATTAGGAAAACTCCCCTTACGGGAAATAAATTCGTATCAACTATTAACAATCAACATATTATTAAAATTATTTATTTTAAATACTTTTAAATTTTTAAAAATACATCCAAATCCAACATCTATAAAATTAAATATAATATAAAACTGAAAATGTACAAATTAATATAATAATGAATATATTATAGACTGATTTTTATTTGAATTCAAATTCTATTCTTCTCTCTTTCTCAATAAATTTGTTTATAACATCTTCATAAAATTTACTTCTATTTGCTCTTAATTTGAAAACCAATTCTTTTTCTATCGATATTATGCTTAAGTTGTTCATCCTTTCTTGAGTTTGAGTTGAACGACAATATGTATGGATTCTTTTTAAAGATGAAAATGATCTCTCCACTGAAGCGGTGGTTGTTGGTATAGTAGATATTAATTGTGCCAATTTATACACCTCGGAAAATCCACTAATTAAGCTCATTTCAGAAAGATAATTCATAATTTCAATAGGGCTTTTATCAGATGATTCGTTTAAGGTGTACCATACATGAAGTTCATTTTGTAGTTTACCATAGTTGAAAAAATCGCCATAAATGTCTTGTAAATTTTTAAGTAAATTAGATGGAAAATTATCTTTTTTTGCAAAACATTTAATTTTTGAAGGATTAAGTAAATTAAAATATTGCAATTTTTCAAACGATTTAAAACGGATATTAATTTGAGTTTGTATATTGTCGATTATTTCAAAATAGAGACGTCTATAATAATCTTTTTTATCAGTTTCTGTTTGTCTAACCCTGCGATTACTTACAAGTTCGTTTGAATTTTCAGTAAACGATGCCCATATAGTATCAAAATTTTCCCTTTCTTGGTTTAATTGATTTTTAAAATCAAGTATTTTTTGACTACAAAATAAAATATCAAAATTTTTTGATTGTAAAATATTGAACAATACGTCAGTAAAAATAAGAAGATTAGATAATATTTGTATAATAAAAATGTTTTTATTTTCTTGAAGAAAGTTTGCAAATCCTTTTGCTGTCATTCCAGTAACATGATCAAAATCACCACTTTCATAGACAAACATAAAAAAATCAACCAATGATGTTCGATGATTATGAACTGTATGAACTAATCGTGAAGTAAAGTTCCAACGAGTAGTAGCCAATGTGGGTAATTTTTTAGTCATAAATTCTGAAAGTGCTTTTAGTCTTTTGGGGGAATGAGAAAAAAAAAACAGGTAAAGAGTTAAGACCTCGAAAAAATATTTTAAGTTCCTTGTTGCATTCTAATGATTGTTGAAGTATTAAATTAATAACATGCGCATAACAATGAGTAAACATAGCTTTAGGATATTTCTCTAAAACTTTACTTTGCAAACCGTTTAAATGACCAGACATTACTGCTGCACCGTCATATGTTTGTGCCACTAATTTGCTTTCAATTTTAAATTTTTCTACTACTTGATTTACGTGATTAAATAATGAGGCTGCTGTTTTGTCAGCACTCATGTCATCAAATCCAAGAAAACGTTCAACAATTTTGTTTTCGTTTTGTGAAAAATATCTCAGTACTGTCGATAATTGCGATTTATTACTAATATCAGTCGTTTCGTCAAGCATAATTGCCACGTATTGTGTATTTTGAATTTCATTAAAAATCTCATGTTTAATAACATCAGCAACAGAATTTATTAAATCGTTTTGTATGGAAACAGAAGTGCCTCGAAAAATAGTAGATGTATCTAAATGTTCTTGTAACAATGGATCAAATTCTTGGCTAGAAATCAATAATTCCATATAGTTTCCCCTATTAACTGAATATTTGTTTTCATTATGTCCCCTAAAAGGTAATTCCTGTTTAGCTAAAAAACATACTGCATTTATTAATCTTTTTAATATTTCTCTATTTTTTGCAGCTTTTTCATTATGTAATTGAATATCTATTTTTCTTTGTTTATCTAATGATATATCAATTCTAGCAGTTGAGGATGATAAAAATGTTTTAAGTTTAAAATATGCAGCTATATGAATTTCTGATTCAGTATGTTTTTTAACAGCTGTATTTAAATGATTTAAATCATCATAACCTTGATTGTTCCAAACAGTTTTTTTGGTAGAAAATAGTAAACAAGACCAACAAAAAAATTTATTCGATACTTCACAACCGCATAACCAATCAGATATATTATAAAGTTCTTTACGAAAATGCCGAGTGCATGACGTATTATCAACTCCAGTCTTTTTAATTTTTACTGTTGTTAAAATGTCAAGATCTGGACACGGTCTACCATTTTCAACTAAAACTTTTTTTTCAGCAAATGAAAGTCTTGAAAAACATTTTTGTTTTAATTGATTTACAACTTCGCTACGGTTATACATATTGTTAATATGGAATAAGTTAAATTTAGTTAATAATAATTTAAACAATATTATACATTTAATTTTCAAGTAATTAAAACTACACGGGACGTATAGTAAATTAGTAACAAGTGTATTTTAAATAAAAATAAATACCTCACTGTCTTGAATTATCTAACCCATTAACCCAATAAAAATGCATAGAACCGATGTACGGAAATATACAATAATAATATTAATATTAATTAACATAAAAATATATTATGTTTTCGACGATCGGCGTTGCAGTCTTGCAGTACGAGTGTACGACGTAAACAGGATAACGTGCAGCCGCGACGATCCCCACTAACGGTCCAAACACAGTGTATAGGCTAGCGCTAGACTAGTGAGTAGTGGCTAGTCGTTAATTTCATTTTCAACGACTTGGTCTAGTATTAACATGGCACCGAAGTTATCCGAAAATATCACGACAAATTACGAATATGAGATATTAGATACCACAAGTCGTTGTTCGAAACATTAACGTCCTACACGGCTACACCCTACACAAACACAACATAATACAATATTATTCCGTAATCGGCGTAATCTTATTGGACGCCGTTGCGCGTCGTAGTTGCAGACGGCGCGGGCGAATGGTCGAGTTTAGAGCTTAAAATAGACAATAGTAACAATAGTTTATTATTTGATATTATTATTTTTACATGACAATTATTTTAAGATTTTGTAAATAAAATTATATAACCATGTAATATACTAATATGAATTACAAATTACAATATTACACACATGTATGACATCAATGTTTAGGGCGTTAACACACAACTTGCACACCCAGAGAAAACGCCACTGCATACATATAATGTTATTACTTATTATTTATTGTAAATTATTATTATTTTTATATTTTTACAAATTATTATTAATTACATATTATTATTTAAAGTATATTTTTACAATCAAAATCAAAATTATGTATATGTATTTTTAAATTATTTTTGTTTGAAAAAATTGGTGAGCTTTGTTTATGATTAATGCAGTCATCGCGTCGAAAACCGTCATGCGTCAATAACTGACATACTTTTGTCATAACACATAACCACTTCACCGATAACCGAATTTGTCGTAATCGTATCGTCCCATAACGAGTTTGTTATCGTAATTACATTATTACAAGAGTGCATTCGTATGTGAATACGTATTATTTTCAAATAATTATTAGGGATTTACCATCATTTTAAAAATTCCCTAATAAAATAATGTCCATTATTCAGAGATTTTCCTATTGAAAAATAGTGAAAATGTCCCCGTTCCCCAAAAATCATCCGCTATTGGGAGGTGTCCGCTATTAGGAGGTGTTCGTTAGTAGAGGTTTCACTGTATAATATAGTAATAACCTATAATTATTGTATTTTATCGGCTCATAAAATGTTAATATCATAATTCATAAAAATGTTTTAAAATAATATTTGAAAATATGATGTTTGTGACTCGTGAACAATCTAAATAAATTAATTTAGATGACTTAGTTTTCTATCTTAGATGGCAGTGAGAATGTGAGATACCAGTTGTATAATTTATCTAGATAAGATAATAGATACGAGTGTTTTATCTAGATAAATTTATCTAACTACATTTAACTATGGCACAACACTGAGCAGTATAGGTACCCATGATTTTATAAAAAAAATCTTGAGTAGGTATATACTGCGTATATGGAGAGTATATCTGTATACCCTATGGGAACACTAATGCTTATATTGTATAACTTAACACTTTTAAGAGAGTTTTTGTAGAGATAAGTGCAATGATAATTTAGTTGTTAATGAATAGATTAGTTCATTTTTCGAAAAATTTCAGGATAAGCATACAACATATTTGTAAGTTTTTAATTAAAAAGTATTGTGTGTTTTGTAATGTATATAGTTTTGTATAGAGCTACAATATTTTGAAAATATTTTTTTTATCAAGGTTTACTTAATAATTTAAAAATAGTTTTATGCATGACCTAAAAAGTTTTAAGACGTTGGTGCTTTTCGGTTATCATATTCCAATAGTTGCCAGTAACGACCGGAAAATATCACTCACTATATATTATTGTATTCTCGCTGTTTTTAAATATTACAATTTATTATATGGTGTTGCTATTATACTTTTTTTATTTAATAAAATAATTATTTAAAACATAAATTAACTATTACCATGTAGGTACTAAATATAACAATAATACTTTTTTAAATAAACTATGGATAAATGTACGATATAAATATCAATATAAAATAAAAATTAAGGAAACAGAGACATGCATTTAACAATAGTCTGTATTATAATTTGACTTTTAAGTAAACAAATAGTAATTAATTAAATGTTTTTGTCATCAAAATAATACATATATCTGCTATCATGTAAGTATTTAATACGGATCGATGAGTTACTGACCGATTGTCTTTTATTCTGTTTTTCAGTTAATACTCAATATTTTGAGTAAATATGTGTCCCGGGTTTACAAAGTTATATTTTTGATAGATCTGCTCATGTTAAAATGAATTTTCATTCTTTAAAAAATCATAGAGAACGACAACTGAATAGTACTAATAAATTAACTAATCTGATTGCTATACTCAGCTCTTAAATTGTGCAATGCGACGGTATAGTATTATATAGGATGTGACATAAACACATAATATAATTTTGTTTGTAATATTGTATAAAAATTAAAAATAAATATAATTGTAATCCAACAAAAACGTATGAATACAAGTTTATACAAGAGCCATTTATAATAGACACACCCATTTTATGTTTTTCAAAGTCTTACAATACTAAGGGTCTAAACTATATTATTATTAGTTATTACTGTAAAAAAAAATAAATATTTTTCAGCATATTTGAAAGTGGGTGAGTACAATGTGATCTGTGTGGATTGGAAACAATATTCGACTGATTTAACATACGCAGTCGCTAAAGCAAGGGTCAAATATATTGCTCGAGATATCGCCAAGGTGTTGACGAAGATAACATACAACTTGACGATAGCCTATGATAGTGTACACGTGATAGGACACAGTATGGGAGCACATATTGCCGGATTCGTCGGAAAAAATTTACCCAACCTTCCTCGGGTCACAGGTAATCAAAATGATGCATGCTAAAATAATATTTAATACTTTTAAATGAATAATATTGGTTTGAAAATAAATAAAAACAACTATAAATACGGCAAGAAGAGGTTTTCTTCATAGCCTGCAGGGTGAAAATGGCGGTGTCATCGATTTCGTGCAACCTTCAGTTTAGATCGGGTCAACAATATATTCTAAAAGTTAATAAAATAACAAAAACTATATTATAATATTAGATTATTACATAGTAATAGTTAAAAATTCAATGTTAGCTAAGTTCTTATTGTATATGAACAATTAAGAATTTTTTGATGAGGTGATCTTCAATTGTATTTAATATTTTTTACAAATACTGCAAATCATAAATTAAACATTCATTATTATATTTGATAAATTAATTGTAGTATTTTTAATTGTTATAGTAATAAATTACTAATTAAATATCTTTCAACAATTTTTATTAGTCATTTATGTTTATATTAATTAATATATTTCAGGATTAGATCCCGCAAAACCGATGTACGAGAAAAGTGATCCAGAAGATAGACTAGCTATTACTGATGCCATGTTTGTTGATGTAATACATACTAACGCTGGTCAAGACGGGTTAAGCAAATCTATTGGTCATATGGATTTTTTCCCAAATGGAGGAAAAAAGCAACCGGATTGTGAAAAATGTAACTACTTAAAAATTAAAATATTATTTAATAATTAAAAGGAAAATAATATCAAAATGTAACACGAATATCATTGATAGTTATCTTAAATTAGATAATGAAAACCGTTTCGGTCTATTTATTCTGAAACGTTACGCATATTTTCATTTAGGGTTTCTCTTAACTATAAATAGGAAAATATCTTTACTACAGATTGATTGTCAAATTTCGAGTATCAAAGTAACTTTATCTTATAACGGAGTTCGATAGTTTTCACTTATTATTAGATTTTAAATAAATGTCTTTAAAACCTATGTACGTATAACGTTTAAAGTTTCAAATAGTAATAATTGGTTTACGGTCAAGACCATTGACTCGTGTTTATGAGTTTACATATATAGTATCATTTTGCTTATCTAATATTTCTAAAAATCGCGAATAATTTTTATGTTTTATAACATATTTACTCTTGATACACATAAGATATTTTGAGCTCATTATGTAAATATAATTGATTTTTAAAATTTTATTAAAATGGTCCGGATGAAATCCTTTTAAATCGTGTGTCCTACTACCGATATCTTTTTAAGGCTGCTTTTATTTAGGTAGTTTAAAAATCTCTGATGTGTTAACCGCAAAGCCCGTAAATAATTATTAGTGTGTGAATGTGGCTTAGTATGTGTTCTCTAGCATACATATTACGTGCACAAACAAGTCATCCTAGACACGATCGAAAATATTTTTGACACGACGTGACAATGAATAATTTCTTTAAGAGAGCAAAAAATATATAAACTCTTAGTAATCCAATTACAATTTTGATAAATAATTTGAACTCGTTATCACCTTTTTATTTTTTTAAGGAGTTGAATTATAAATAGTTTGAATAGTTTTGAATTTAAATTAATTAAAAAGGTTAATAAAAAAAAAAATAAATAAAATAAGAAAGTTTATCCATCAAAATATATAAAAAAAGACTAATAAATTTAAACTTAAAAATTGTACTATTAGTATGTATGTTAATTTTTTATTAGTTTGTTGGTATGTATGGAAAATGCAGTAGCTTAGAACCCTTTTAAGGGTTTTGGAGCCGATGCATTTATTGTGTAAACATTTGCATCACAAGAAATATTCCCATACTTCGTGAATTCGTGATACAGTCAGATTTCATTAATTCTATTTTTACTGTGAAAAATGAACAACTTTTGCGGATTATGTGGATTCAGATTTACAAAAATATATTTTCAGAAATTATAATGATAACGTCTATTCATATTTTACAATTTGTTGAGTATTTTGAGATATATCTTTTGCAGGCATTATTTTAAATTGATTAAAAAAATTAAGTCCAATTCCATCTAAATAAAGTTTAACCATTACACAAAACAAAAAGTCTAATATATCTGCAAGGCTTAATCGATGTTCATGGAAAGTCATTTTTGATCACTGAAATAGTTTGATTTTATTTTTATTTTTTAGTATGGTATATTAAAGTATGGTTACCTTGTAACTTAATTAGAAATTGCCTGGAAACTTTTTCGTCTTAGTTAATAGCAGGCTTTAATTTCTTTAACGTATACATATACTACCATAGTGTTGGTGGCGACTTGTAGTGCATATTATTATATTTAAGTGATATTCTGTGTTAATAGCTACTTCGTGTAGTCACGTATCAGCCTATCATTACTACGCACACTCCATATGGGCCAAAGACGATTACATTGCATATAAGTGTTCCAGTTGGAAAGACTATGAAGCAAACATGTGTAATCAATCCTACACAACTTATATGGGCGAATTCGTAGATATAAAAGGGTTTGCAATCTATTTGTACACATTTTCCATACCACTGTTAAATAAATAGGTCGTAAAAATATGATAAATTAATTTTGTTTCAGGGAAAACGGTGATTATTTTTTAAAAGCGGCCACACGAGATTAGTAGAATAAAATGCTACGAGTAAATCCATCACTGAATAAAATGAAAATCTTTAATATTATTAAAACAAGTGTTATTTATTAGTTAGTTGAATTATGTATTAATATATAGTTGAGCTGTATAATATTTTTTATATTGATATATATATATATATATATATTTTATATTTTTACTACTTGCATAAATAAGTTTTGATTTTTTGATCGACTCGCTGTGGTTAAATAAAATTATCTTTATGCTACACTTCTATAATTGTACAACAGATATTAACATTAATATAATATATTATTGCTTTATACCATTGATAAAATATTTACAATTGGTCATCAAGACATATACGGATTGACAGAATTTTTCTATCTGGGAAAATTATTTAGAACGGCCTTTTATATTATAATATCTAATATTATATATAAAATCAAATATTACTAATGTTTTTTAAGGTAAAAGGTGATTCAAATCCCCCCCCTCTCCATATACAATTTTAAAAATTGCAATTTTGTTTACTGACTTTTATATGTATTAAAATAAAACTTGTATATAAATAATATAGCAAAAAAATTTAATATGAGAGTTCTTTATTAAGTAGGTAATGCACTTTTTTTTTAACTTAACAATAATTTTTTCTCTATCAATATAATTTCAAAAATGTTTCTAGCATAAAATCTTCTAAATATGAATCGGATAATGTGCTTCTCAATTTTATTTTAATACATTTAAGTACCTACAGAGAATGATCTTTCACAATCAACCTATAACAATAATAAAATTAATCTTATAATATTATAGTTATACCTTCCGGAAAAATTATCTTACTTGTGTCGTTAGCAAAGTAAGTAAAAATTTATAAGCTTAAGTCAATGTGCTATAACTATTACTTATTTCATAAGCAAAGTATAACAAAAGAAAGCATAATTTTTCCACGTATATTGTGTTGTGCAATTATTGTATTTCTTTAAATTGTATTCATTATTATTATCATTATCTTCATCATCGTTGTGATTCAAGGTATAGGTCTCCAAAATGTTTTTTTTTTTTTTTTTTAATGACTCCCAGTTATTAGAAAAGTGTATTAATTCTAACTTTAATTTAACAGTAGTAACTTCTGAATCAAATTTTATTAATTTAAAACAAGAAAATTGAGTGTTTTAGCTGAAAGACTATATTTAATGTCATTGAAGTTGCTTGAAGATAAACAATATAAATCGCATATATTTTTGAATTTGACAAAAATTGTTTTTTCATACTATTTATTACACTATCCATAACAATATTATATACTTCAACAAAAAATATCTTATAAGGATCAATTATTGGCTCATACTTTGCTTTATCGCCAAATTGCTTTTTATTTTTTCTTGATCTTAATGTGGGTAATTTGCTTTCAATAATAAAGTCAATATCACTATTTTATTCTTGGGTTTTTTTTCACCCCATTTAAAAATTTGGTATTTTATATAGGCATATTATACATGTATAATCACCGTAGCCTTGATAAAAAAAATTAAAAATCATTGACCAAGATATACTATAATTATTACTAGATATAATATAACTTAGTCCGTGTTAGAAATTAAAATAATTATTTCAATTATGATAAAAATGTGATAAACTAGTAAATAATAAATATTAATAAATGTAAAAAAAATAAATTCTAAAAGTCGTTAAAAATAGGTTAGAACGTTTGATGCAATGTCATTTTACATTTTTATTTAATCATTTATACAATTTTCGAAAATTTTAACAAAATGCCCCGAAAAATAATTTTTTTAAGTAAACTTGATTTCATGCGATAACTAGATGAAGGAATAAGTTTTGAATTTCAAAACTTCTTTTATACAATAAGGTGTAATGCCAAAAAACTATGAGCTAAAAAAAAGGAAAATATGCAATTTTTTTTTCTTTTACGGTCCACAGCCACTTGTTAATTTTTTTTTTTTTGTTAAAAACCTAGTATTACCTCTTTTTTAGAGTGTAAAGTGTTTTTAAATTTGTTTGAAACAAGCTAAAATGTTTGATGCACTGTTGTTACTTAAATTTATTTCACTTATAAAACAAACGTATAGAAAAATGTATAATTATTGGAATGACGTTGGGTGAGCGATTGAGCGTCGTGTTGATTGTCGTATCGAACTTTATTCTTTATTAATGTTGATGTGTCGCCTTTGACTATATTCGAATTTGCAGATTCCGGCATTACTCATTTGTGTATGTGTGTGGTGTTGTGTATCATTATTATTGTAATATGTATTACATAATTTGTGTTTATTTAGTTGCAAACATACTGTTCTATTCATTTTCTTAAATCTAAAGTAATTTAATAAAGTATATTATATTTTTTCGTTAATTTATGTTTATACAGCTACAAAGATATCGTACTATTTATTTTCTTTAATTTAAAAATAATTAAATAAATATTGATATATTGATATATCAGAATTTATATATCATTAAAATATTTTATTATTTATTTGAATAAATAAATTAGAAAAAGTATTGATTTTTTTTTTATAATTTTTGACATTCTACTTCATAATATTGTGGCTTGTTATGATGACGTATAATAATTACTATGATAAGTGTATTATAAGTAGTAAAGAAGGTGTTACCATTGGGTTTTTTCCTCAACACAATATTTATGTTACTTTATTTATAATATGCAAATATCAAATTTGCTTATTGTAATTATTGTGTACAGATTGTAAACTGTCTTTCTTAAAAAAAAAAAAAAAATGTGGTAAGTGACTTCAATAAAATCGTGAATTATTTAGTGGCTTACAGGGACAATCGTTTTTATTAAATAACCAATTTAACAATAAAATTAATAACCTTGAATGGTTGCTTAAAAACAATGCTATGAGTATAATATTATTTTGTTTAGGTACAACAGGTGAGAATACAACAGACTAAATTATTAAATTATAAATGCCTGCTCTGAGTGTAACCATAACGCAACACGTTACATCCTGTTTCTATGATGCACATATTTTTATGCATGTATTTGTGTGATAACCTAAATTTCTCCTCTATTGTTACTATTATTTATTTCTACCCAACTTTTGAGGAGAAAATGATAAAACTAGAAGGAATTTTAGTTTGGCCTACATTTTATATAAATTGCTCGTTACTTAATTTAAAATAAGTTTGGGTATGATTTTTCCGACGATTGTAAACTGTGCTCAAAATAAAGATAAACTCAAAATCAGACATGTAAACTGCGCCCGAGTAAAATTTTAAAATCAATAGTTATATTTTTGCAGAATTTTTTTTAACATATTCATCAATTGGAATTTGACCATTATTATATTTATTAATTCAATTTTTTAACTTTTCACTTTTTAACTTTTAAACTTTTTGTTATAAATAAAATCGATACCAACATCGATAGTAAACAATAGATTTAATATCATCATAATTAATATATTATTATTAGTTTGGTTCAATTCAATCTTTATATTCAAATAATTATTGATTTTTTTAGATGATCGTTATTAGCCTTTTATGCACACGATTGTGTATTACCCGATTCATCTTTGAATTATTAAAGTTTGTTTAAACAATTATTTTCTAAAATTGTTAGTTGCCAGTCAATATTCTATGTTCAAGATTTAAACTTTAAATAAATTATTTAGTGGCTAATAAAATATGTTTACATAATTATAATATGTATATTAGATAACTAAAATATTGATTAAAAAAAAGTATCATTTGCTGAAGAATCATATAAATAACTACAGTTATGTTAGGTCCAACGTTTACGATATTTTTTTCAACTGAAAGGTAGATTATATTATTATCTAAAAACTGAAAACAATTTCTACCCATACAAGTCACAGTTTATATTAGAATTTCCTCATTGAGTTGAACAATGTTTTATAAAAAATTTTAAAAAAAGATGTAATTTTAGAACACTAGCATATGTTATAAAAGCATAAGACTTGCGCGTTGATAGAGTTCGAAGCGGAACTATTTGTACCTATATATATGCTAAAATATTGTATAGCTATTTTTTCATAGTGCACCATAAAATAACGTGTCATCATAACAAATTATGTACATTTGGTAATATCATTGTATTTACATAATAATTAACTAATGGTGATGTATACCAATAGTATGAATAATTTATTGGTAGCTGATGTTGTAGATAAATTGATATTGCAGAAATAGACGATAGCTGTTCCTAAGACATTCGATATTTCGGGGTCAACAGTCAAAATCGATAAAATCACATCGCTAGAATCTCGTCTGAAGTAAATAAAATGTTTTTTTTTTTCATTCAGACACACGTACACGCGCACGCGCGAGCACACACACACACTTATAATTATAATTATATGATGTGTTTTTGAGATATGATTTTTCGTCATAATAAGTGCACGAGTTGGTTGTGTGCGGTGCCGCAAGCAGTACATTATGATACCATTTGACAACTGTGTAGATAATAGGTACTATAATATTATATAAGAATTTTTCCTTTATTTGTATGTTAAAAGTGGAGATGAAATTAAATTAAATTCGACTATCAAACACCATACAACGATCTTGTGTGTTCGAAGTATTATTGTGTAAGAATGATAACGACTTCAAAGTATTTCATGAGTAGCAGCAACGTTATGCTGTTAATTATTTTGCAATACTGCATTGTGTTACCAAGCGGTGAGTACTTTTCATTTATGTCGAGTCGGCATTTGCTACGTGTTTTGTTTGAGAACGCAACATCGTTTCGATCAAAAAATCTCGAATTTAAAATTTTACAGTCGAACCCATTATTACTAGGAGGATTTGATTGTTATTTCAAAATTAGTGAATAGTTTTTGTATCGATTTCGGACGAATGAAGATTGTTGTCATCGTTTATGACCGTCAGATAAAGGCATTTAGAGATAACTTTGGATCCTCTTTAATGACATTATTATGTAAAATGACGTAAATTAACGAATAGTTGGTACACCTTTTTCAATAATTGTATTTTCATGAACTAACGCATTTATAATTTATGTAAGAAAACATTTCGTACCTACCTGCCTTAATGCACTAACCTTATAGTTATTTAACAGTCAGTAATATTTTCCTAGTGTTAATTATACACTGCGATGACAAAACAAAGTGTAAAAAATATACAATAGTATTCTAAATGAATTAAAGACTACAACAAAGTTCATAAATTTAAAAGTAGTGAATTAAATTTTAATTTTCAAATACAATCCAACAGATTGACCAAACATAAAAATTCTCCGCGCGTAAGAAAGTTATATAAAACGATACACGATATATCAATTAAATATTAATATAATCAAAACACTGTATCATACTACAGAAAATTGCCCGATATTATAATTGTGTTAATTTTGTGAAGCTGTTACTATAGAGGCCAATACGCACAGTTAGGTCAATTGATTGCTCGTTTTATTATCTGCAGTCAGTTTATATAATATATATATATATATATACGTGTGTATTATACAGAGTGTATTTTATGTACATGTAGTTTTTTTTTTGTTTTTTAATAACAATTTAAAATTTCTTGAGAATACGTCGTTCTTGATTGTTTTTTTTGCCATATAAATAGATAATACAGCGAATTAGCGTTAAGCAGTTTTAATTTTATGTTGTTTGTTTTAAAATAAAAATAAATTGGTCTATAATTCAATGTAAAAATATTAATTTAATTTCATTCTCTTTTTGGGTTTTTTTTTTAAAATAATATTTTAATTTTTAAACTATAGATATTAGCATTTTTAAATATCAATATTTTACATACTTACTCCAAAATTGCTTAAAAATTCAAACCCAACTAATGAGATAACATAAATAATATTCTTACATTTTATAGCTTGTTAATTTGGTCAATTCATTTTAATATTTGACTTATAAACATAACATTGAAATTGCTAAATGTTCAATATTGGTATATGCTGCGTTAGTAAAATGAAGATAAACGTATGGGTACATGATGTCTTTATGAGTTCGTTTCGATTCATAGTCGATTCAATAATCAAGAGTTTGAAAAATAATCACTTTATCCTAGATTCACTAAAAATATAACCGGTATATAACAGCGTGAAAAAAAATACGATATGATAGTATAATGATCAGACAATGAATATTTAATCATAGTAGGTATGAGATTATTTATTTAATGAGTAACTCGCAAAATAGGCGTACATTCTTTAAATTTTAATTGCGAAAAAATTAAAAAACTGTTAGTTTTGCAAGCTTTTAAGAAAGTATTTGTCTAATCTAACCGATTGCTACGTTCATACTAAGCAAGTTACAATTATTATTAGTTTTGCATCAATTTTTTTTTCATTTATGTGACATACAGTATTGTGAACCAAGTGAGCCAATCATAGAATTGATCTATCGAAAATTCAATGCGCTCAACTCTATAACCTTACAGATTTTTAAACATTATAATTAGATATGATACAAATTTCTGTAAATCAATTATATTTCATAGTCTACTATTTATTTAGAGGAGGAGATGGATCGTCTTGTCAAGAGGTGCTTTGCCTCTCCTAGTCACCCCAAACTGCATCACTGTTGCAGGACGATAAATAATAATAATAATATATGATGTTTAATATTTCAAAGTCATGGTTGAAATCCTATTTAAATTAATTAAAATTTGAAATTCGATAGAATACAAAAGATTTAATGCCCATTTCTTTTGTCCCGGTCAAATAGCAGTTCAACAGTACTTCATAAAACAAGTCGATCACAAGGTTTACTTGTTACACTACTATATAATCTTTAAATGTATTTTTTTAATATCTATTTTAAAACTCTACTTCACACAATATTTATCTGATAGATTACTTATCAGATGATAATGATGGTGTAGATACGTCCATGAAAATCCTAATAAATATTTGTGCAGTTTTAAATTTTAATTATTTTATGTTTTGATCATAAAAATTAAAAATAGATCTCAAATAATTGTATGTAATAAATTATAAATTTATGTATAGGCAACTGTTTAAAATTTGTTCACACTGTTGATTATTCGATCAAAAACCAAGATCCAACGTTAAAAGAAATTCATTTTTCTTACAACAAACTTAAGATTTACAATATATCAAATCACGTATTTTATTGGCTCTATACCAGGTAATGTTTCATATGAGTCAAATAAATAACATATTTTTTGATATTTTTTATGACGCGCCAATTCAATATTCGTGTCCGTGTCATTTAATACGTTTGGCATGTTTAATTACTTTCAGAGAACAACCCAACGGTCAGCTTTTAAACATGAACGATCCGTCCATGATAAAATCGACAAACTTTAATGTCAAAAATCCGATAAAAATTTTAGTGCACGATTGGCTTGGCAGTTTCCAAGAAAAAGAATACTTTTGTACAGACGTAGTGAAAGGTTTGTAATTATTTCATTCGTACTGCAGTGAACAATTTTTTTAAAATTATTTATAGGTTAGCTTAAATCTGCAACAACTGTAACATTACATTAATACACTGATTTAACATATAATGAAATAAAAACATCCATTTCATACCATAAACGACTAATTATTGGCGAAATTATTGTCATTCTATACTCGTTGTTTACTACATTCATTATTTGTTCGCAGCTTATTTAAGCGCAAAACGGTGCAACGTGATTTGCGTGGATTGGATGCAGTTCTCATTTGAGCTAATGTATACATCGGCAAAAATCAATGCTAAACACATCGGTTATGATATAGCTAAGGTTTTGAACATTTTAACGAACAATATGAGTGTAGGGTCTGATAATATCCACTTGATAGGTCACGGTATGGGTGCACATATCGTCGGATACACTGGGAAAAAGTTAAACGGTCAAATTCCTCGGATAACCGGTATCTATACATCTAATGTTATTTTTTTAAGAAATACTCGTATAATAGTTATTATCGCTTACTTTATTGGGGAATAAAAGCCATTTTTCCTTTTTTTTTTTTTTACTGGAGAATAGTTATCATATCACTATACTTAACATTAAGGATAATAATATTATTTTGTGTTCGTTCGTTTTTATAAATACGCCTGACGTGATATATTTTTGTAATATTGCTTACCGCTGTATTATAAAATTAATCATCGCATTCTCGTTGTACAAGTAATACAGAAGATGTTTCTGTTCTGTATGTTTAAGGATTAGATCCTGTGATGCCATTATACATAAATACTGGTCCGAAATACAGGATCAATAAAGATGATGCGACATTTGTAGACATTATACATACAAATGGAAATAGCCTCGGATTGTTTGAGCCATTAGGTCATATAGATTTTTACCCGAACGGAGGAAAATCACAACTGAACTGCAAAATATTAGATAAAGGTATGTTATTACTTTTCAAGTAGAATATGTTGAATATCAATAGCTCAAAAATTTATATTGTAATAAATAAAAATTAATAAGTAAATATCTAATAACCATCAAGATTGTGTAAATACGTAATAAATTATACGAAACACAATATTCGATTCGTCATAGGTAATAGCGAAATTATTATTTTAAAATTTTTAATGTTTTAATTATATTTAATTTATACTCTGTTATTACTTTAGATTATTTGTCAGTTAAAAAAATAAAAAAAAAATAATAATAATATCAACATAATAATGATTAAATTATATAGATAATATTAACGTCTAATATTATAGAGAAAAAATCAGTTATTTAGATAGTTGTTTAAACTTTGCTGTAATGATTTTAGTATCGAGCGCTAGAAGTTTTTAGTATTTTCAGTTCTAAATTTTTTAATAGCCGCTGAAAAAATTTCAAACCAAAACAGTATAATACATTATTTATTTAAGAGCAATGGTGAAGCGCTAGTTTCGATCAAAAACTCGACCGTTATCGTCTAAATGATTGGAAATTTTTAATCGCAAATAAGTTTTAATACGTATAACAATATTATAGTTGTATCATTGATTATGTATACTACTGATACTAGTATTATTAATCAATGGTAGTAGATATGCATAAATATGTAATAATAATAGAGTATAGTCAGTATTCAGCATAGATGATCTAAACCGTGTAATAATTAAATTGTTGAGATTGTTTGTATAGTTACCGGTGGTGCGTGCAGCCATGCCAAAGCTTTAGAGTACTTCGCCTACTCAATATTGACTGAAGAAGTATGCAAAGCGTATCAATGTACCAGTTGGAACGAATATAAAACGGGCAAGTGCAGTAAATTCGTCAACAGTACATACATGGGCGAGCATGTGGACAAAAAGTACGTAGTTTTTTCGATTTTCCTAAATTCTTATTCGTTGTATAGCTATAGACGGTGAAAAGTGGTTTCAGTGATTTTCAACTTGTGGGTCGTGAAGCGCGTACTTTACTTGTATAAACTTTTAATAATTACAACAAATTTATAACATTTTAAAATTATCTCATGATGATTTTCAGTAGAAAAATGACAATAAATAATAAAAAAAAAAAAATGAAGCCTCAAACGATGGATACGATAATCAGAGATTTTCTTTCATTACTATTATCATTATTAAGTCTGCCTCAGAGAAAAAAAACTTTCTTTTCCAAATCCGGTCAAAATGTGTTGAAGGTCACTGGATTATACTGTGTATATTTATACCCAAAATAACGTTTTATAATACTATATCGGTTTTAATATTTTTTTAGACAAACCGGAAGTTATTATTTATGAATTTGAATTTCGACAGCGTACCGTACCATAATAATTATAGGTCGACGCAAACGTTTCGGATATGTTTATAGATTATAGATGGACCCGAATACTAAAACTGTATTGTCGTGATCATCACAATAAACCACAGCAAGTGAATAAACGCATTTACATACAACTAGGGCTCATCATTTGTAAAGTGTAATATACATTTTATTGTTATTTTTACCTGTTAAAAGTGAATAATAAATATCAAGTGTAAGTTGAAGTCTAGTAGTTTGCACGCGTATATTTTGTGGATCTACCCGATTTTGGTTTCGATTGAAGCTTTTGAATATATGTACCAGTCGTCATCACTCTCACACGAATTAAAAATTATCTTGTTTTTAATCGGTGTGTTTATTTCTTGAGATACAAAATTGAAACTATAGTATAATAATACAAAGAATAGAATAATTTGAAAATTTTTTTTATATACATAAAATATTTTAAATTCGTTGCATTTAAAGATGGAAATAAAAATGTAAGATAAAAATGGTTTTTATAAGAGATTCAGTATATTATATAACATTTCAGAGATACAGTTTTTTATACATAATAATTAATATTTATGTTGTAACTAATATTTATTGCAGCATTGATCAAATTTCTATCTACATATAATTAATTATCAAGATCAATAAATACTTGTATCTTCTTTTAAATCCTGAAGAGTTATGTACCTAGATTATGAAAATTATAAGTTGATAATATTCATTATTTTGTGGTATAAGACAAGTAAAAATTTCATTTGTAAAAGTGTATTATATAATAACTATATTTGATATTTATGTAAAATAACACATTTTAAATCAACAAACAAATAAAAATTTCATGATAATATATATATTATATAGTCAATATCAAATATATAATGTATATTATACTAAAATCAAAAATAAACAAGATAATAATTTTAAAATTAATCATAAGTTAAAATACTTTATACTTTTATAAATAACAATAATATGAGTGTTAGTAGGGTTAATGTTAAATACGAAACTTAAGTAGATATATTATTTGGTAATAAGTATAAATGTTTTAGTTAACCTTAAGAAAAACAACGCTTTAATCATTTGTGATAAAACGAATTATTAATGATTTTTTTTTCTTATTCAATAAAAATATGTTTATTATTTTAAAAAGATAAATAATTATTAATAAATTGACAGTAATTTTAAAACGTTCAAATCACATGTGTTCACAATAAATTTTTATTTATATATTTTCAATAATGAATACAGAAAATATAACATATATGTTTTTGACTATTCGTCATTTATTAACGACTATATATTTTTTTTCGTACCCTGCACTTTGACAGTCTCGTATATTATTATAATATCATATTAGTTTCAATTTTGATTTAACGTCGTATATCATGATGATTAAAGTAAAAATCTAACAATAAAATTACTGTCAATTACACTATATTATAGACGAACGTGTCATACTAAATTACCAATAATAAAAACAAAATCGGCGACGGTAAGAGGTAGGTACACTGTATAAAGTACTTAAAGCACTTTATCTAAGGACAAACTTAGGAAATGTTTAAAGCGTTCGTTTTACATGACAATATATCTTGTACGTCTAAAATACATTTCGAAAATAGGCTTACAATAATCTAATGACATATGCTTTGTTTAATCACTGTCATCGCTATTCGTTCATTGAGACGACGGAGGTACAAGGTACATAACCTAAACAATATTACAAACGGCGAACATAACAATATATCATAAAGGATTTCAACTCGGTGATGTGTATGGGTGCGTTTAGAAATAATGGTAAAACAATAATAATAATAATAAGAATAAAAATTATAAAAAGTAATGACAATAAAGGTCCAAATATTGATCGATGTGGGTGATTGTGGTGGTGGTGGGAGGACGGAGACACGTATGATCGTGTGGTGTGTGGGTGACGAGGTGGTTATCGGGGTTGTTCTATACGGGTGGTGGTCCGCCAGGGTAGCGGAGCAACGGGTAAAGGCTCCAAGCGATGTTGTTGGACTCCATGCAGCTGAACTCCTCGTCGACGATCGGAACCAGAGAAGCTGCGCCTAGGACCAGCAGCATCAACACCTGGAATGGCAGAGACGCTCGCATCACCCGTCCGAAGAATCTGTAGCCACGTCTCAGCACCGTCTCATCTCCGCCAGCACTGTTGAAAAACCACGTATCGCGTGACATATAATAATAAGTTATCTGTGTATTTGCAAAGAACTAGTTTTTGCTACGGTCGTTTTTTAAATAAAATACCAATCGTCGAGTCGCCAACAGGTTATTTAGGACTAATGTATATTCGCCAGTGTCAGATTTATGGTTTTTATGATTGGGAAAAGGGGAGGAAACACTTTCCTGTATAACTTTTTCCAGAGAGTTCGCAGTTTATAAAATAGGAATGCTAATGATAAATAGTAAATACCTACTATAATAAAACATATTGTGTACTAACTATAATTTTTGATTACATTTTTAAACTGCTTTAAAAATAATTGTATATTTTACTAAAAGGAAAAAAAATGTTATAAAATGGGTATTGTTGAAATTTTTTTTGTTCAAAATTAATCAATTCATAATGATCGTCAATAATTCAAAATACACTAGAACATTTGCAGTTAATTATTACATTAAAAATAACATTGCCAAAAGTTTAGAATGAAATGATGTAATAAACAATTTTGCAATACAAAATTTATAAAGATAAACTTCTAGAAAAAGAAAACATCAGGTCGTTAAAGTTTTTTCACTAAAAATTAGAATATTGTGACTATACACACAAATAATAGGTACTTGTTAAGTATTATAATATAAATGTTTAAAAATATAAGCCCATTAAAATATAAATTTGAACTTTATGCATGTTTAGTTTACATTTTTTGGGATAGGAAAGGGGCAAAACTGCAAAAGTCATAATTTTACTCTTTGTCATGGGTAAAAAATCCAGATCCGGCACTAGGTATTTTTTTTATCTAAACCTACGTTATATTCAACTATTATATGAAACTATGGATTATATAAAATAAATACATATTATATTGTTATCCATTGGTAGGTATGTTGATTTTAGAAAACAGTTTAAATTATTGACTGTTTACAAAATTCGTAAGCACAGAAGACTTGAGTCTACGTAAAATGTAATGGGACAATATTTTGATTAGATCAAGATTTTTAAAATTTGTGTTTTAAATGTATCAAATAAAAATAAAATTTTCAAATTATCATTTTCAACACACCAACTCTGTGCCAGACCACGGTTTTGAGTCAATCCCATAGTTTAAGTGCTATATAATTAACAATTAATTCATTACAATAGACACCGACCTGTGAATGATGATTGACATCAGTATATTTTTTTTCTGGATTTTAATATCAAGTGCAAATATACATATACTAAGTACCTATAGGTTAAAAAATTATTATCACCACATGCACAACTAAATCTGTGTGTTTTTTTAGAAAATATTTTTTGGTTATTTATTATTATTTATTTGATATTTATTTATACTGTTAATACAGCTGATTTATAGATCTACCCTCAATTCTCCACACCATAACAACGTAAATGCTATGTTTATAAGAAACCACTGATTTAACTATAGTGTTGATCTATAATGGTAGTAATACAAAAATAGTTGAAATTAAGGAAGTTGGATTGCATCCAAATTCTAAATTCAGAACGTTTTCATCCCCACATAAATAAAATGTCTCTCTCTCTCTCTTTATATATATATATATATAGATATGTACGTGTAACTAAACGTCACAGATGTATCTAACTGCATAGTGTCTTTGGAATTAACACGTGTGAAAAGTGTAAAAGAAAAGTTCATAAATGTTTTAAAATATTCATTACTCAATAACTATACAACTTCAAAACAAAAGTTGTACATATGATTAAATTATTTGATTCAATCTATGTAAGAATTCAATTCAATTAATCATTAAGATATATATATATATATTTGGAATGATTCAGAGAAGGATTGTATCTCAAAAGTGTAATACAATCAGAGTATAGAGAATTAAATTAGGTATTAGAACGTATAATGTATTTTAACTACTTCTCCCTCTATTTTTGTTTACTCATTTATAGGCATTAACTGCAATGGTTATTGACATTTATATTAAATATATTAAATTTAATATTATATTTAAATTAAATTAAAATATTTGTAAACCCATTTATTTGCACTCATGTATAGTAAATATAAAAGTCTATCCAAGAATACATATTTGAATTAGGTTACGCGTTATTTATATTAGTTTTATAATTTGTTTAATTGTATTATACTCAGTATTATTAATTTGTCATTAAGAAATGCACTAAATAAGCCAAAAATAATAAAAAGTGTCATTGATAAATAATAAATATGTACTAATAATAGTGTGCAAAAATATTTACTTTGTGTTCAGTTCTTCTTCGTTGGATCGATTCATAGCAGTGCTGGTATCGTCCACCTTTAAAACGGGAACAACAAATTATAAAAAAAAAACTGTGCAGACTAATTAAGACAGTATATGTCGTATGTGTATCAAAAATAATATATATATATGTATATAAAAATACTTTAAAAATAATAGTAAAATAAAAGTAAAAAACAACGTTACGGTCTACACGAAAATACAGTATAATATATAATGTATATATAATATACGTACAACTGTAAAATATGTAGATCACGTCCTATGAAAATATTAATATGTTATAAAATATATATATATTAAAGTCTATTGGTGGTCCAGTTTATATATATAAAATAAAATAATATAATAAGCAATAATAATAAAATGTTATAATAATATAAGCGAACGTGTGTGAAAACGCGGTCCCGTCCAAATGCGTGTAAATAATTATAGTAAAAATAACGAAACATCTATTTTCAAAATAGTCATAAATAATAGCATTAGGTAAATAATTAACAATAATCGATATCGTAAAACGAATAAAAATATGAGAATAAAACTGGGATAAAAATAATATAAAAATGACAATAATACAAGCTGTCACGAAGCGCTGGTCGGGTCATCTATATAATTACTCTTCGAGAACGAAGAACTAAGATAAATATAGGAGCACTCGTTTTTGAATCGCGCTCGTTTAAAACGAGTAAAGTATAAAATGGATACAGAAATCTCTGTGTGCCACCAACACCCAATTATACACGCGGCGCAGAGATATAAAATTTTATAGAAATTCGTTCTTTTTAAATTGTCTTAAACAGGTATTGATATTTTAAACTGCTAATGCAGGTCACAGATATAACACGAGAATATAATGCGAAATTGTTTTCAAAAAAAATTCTCAAAAGAGGAAGCGAAATCATCCCCCCCTCTGCCCACCACCGACGAAAACGCATTGTTCTGCCTTTATTAGTATATGTATTATAATATTTTTATATGCGAAAAATATATTTGGCTTGGGTCGGATCGCCGCGCATCGTACCTGGTGGAGTCTTACGCAAACGTTGTCCGGCGACATATCGTAGCCCAAAGTTGTGCCCAGTTTCGTTGCGTAGCTAGCCGTCATGTTTATTAACACCGTGAGCCGGGCCCTGAGGTGTGACAGTCTTGCGTGAGAGTCGACGATGGTCTGATCGGATGCGGAGGCTACGACGGAAGCTGAGCGCGTCGCGGCGCCAGTCTTCTCGTTGGCCTGACGTAGCCAGTCGGCTGCTTCGAGCAGCGACACCACTCGTGGTTCGCACCTCTCCAGTTCCGCGTGCATGTTCTGATAAAAGAGCAAAGTATAAAAAAATTACGCTATTAACTGTTATTGGTTTATTGAATTTTTTAATATTTCAAACGTGTATCGATATACCTTAAACTTGTTGAATTTGTCCATAATGATAACTGTGTCTTCGGCCAGGTCTACCGGTTCGGTCGTCTTGATCGCTCGTTCTGTTTCGTCAAGCCAATCGACGAGTTCATCAATTACGCCGTAAAACTCATCGTTCTGAAATTGAAATAAACGCAAAACATAATTTATGATCGATCTGTACGTTAAATACAGTAATATTATTAAGGCTACGGTTATTTTTAGGTTGTAGGCTATATTAAAGTAATAAAGTATTAATCATAAATTATTATCGGTTTATAATATATTGAATTTTAATTGTATGATATTATTTTCAATGATTTACGTATGAAGATAAAGTACCAATTTGAATATCAAATACGTAAAAGATGTTTCTAAATAACAAAAATATAAAAATATAATCTTACGGATTTTATGACAAAATTGTGATCGAATTATTTAGACATTTAATTGTCATACAATATATTATAAAGTATTACGTTTAAATAATTAGTTACGATTGATACCTCCATAAGTGCAGTTTGCAATTTGGTTTGCCATTCAGTGCACGCAAAACAGACACGATCCCATCTAGAATTGGTTGCAGATAGACGGTTCTTGATTTGAGCTGCTCTTTCCTCATCATTGCTATGTTCGGCCAAATGGTGTCCAATTACGTTCAACGACTGCACAATATTGCGGTGACTGTCCAAGTACAACAGGAGTTCCTATTTATGAAATAGATCGTGCAAGCGTTAATAACTATGGTTCACGTTACTCCAATTATTTAGTGTACTATGCGTATTGCATACCCTGTGTTCTTGTATGACGTCTTCTAGTTGTTCAATTTTAGATGGTGGTACCATCGGTTGGACGCTCAGCTTAGCTTCGGTCGACTGTATCCAGTGTTCTAAGCGCCACATGTCATTTTCGAACTGTGACCAGTTTTGTTCGGAGCACAATGGACACATCGCCGAACTATTACTTCTAAAAACAAACAAGGGAATTATTTAGATTATCATGATTCATATCAATGGTGCACTGAAACTAAACTATCCGATTTACTCACTTTGGTGGACCGTCTTGCTGCTGTGATCGGAAATTTACAAGAAGCTCCTCGTACTTGGTCAATAACTCTTCAGACCTGATTATGGTTATGTCGGACTCGGAGACTCCACATTGTGTTTTTAATATGACGCTGAGATGTTTGATCAGGTCTATGGACATTTGACACGTCGCAATGTTTTTCGATAAGTTCTTGTCAGACTTTTGTATAGCTAATTCCAACTCGTTTAGGTTGGTAGCAGCGTTTGCTATCGCTGTTTGTAATTCGTAATGGAATGAGTCTTTTCTGAGTAATTCAGTTGGAAGAGTATCGACTTGTATTTGTGAATCTTTGCCAATCTTCAATGTTTCTACTTGAACTTCTTCGTTTACCGATCGCTGTTAGTCAAACATTTAATAAATGATAATTATTGAAAAATAATTAATTATTTTATGTACTAAATGCTTACCTTCTTTCTACACGAGGTTTCTTGAACACACGTAACCTTTAATTTTTCAATACGATTGTTGATGTCTTTCCATAAAAGTTGGTACTCGTCAATCATTTCTTGAATATTTTTTATATCACTAGGAGTACTATTAGTCATTAATTGCAGACCTAATGCATCTGCTTTCTCGAGAAGTCCTCCATATTTTTTCAACTCCATTTCTAATATCTAAATAAAATAAAATAATTTTAATTTTATGAAATCTCATTCACCCAATGTAATTAATATATAACAAAATTGTTTAAATTATTATTGAATTTTATAGTTTATTAGTATATAAATATGTAAATATGCAGTTACCTGTAAATTTCCAAGGTTTTTCTCCATAACATGTATATTTCCTTCATCATCATTGTCAGATTTATCTAACAACTCAAGTTGAATCAGTTTAGTATCGACTTGAGTTAGGGTCACTACAGCCCTTCCATGTGCATTAATGAAATCTTTCCATAATGTTAATGATTTTTTAAGAACGATAAGTATCATATTGATTTGTTCCAACAGAGATTCTCGTTTTTTACTTATTATTTCTATTTCTTCGTCAATGAACTTTGCAGTATATGTAGAACGAGATATAGAAACAGCGAGTTCTAACTTAGAAAACTTGTCTTTTGCGTTTAGTTGTTCCTGCTAATATAGTATTAGTAATTAAAAACTAATTTAAATTGTTTACAATAAATCACGTATGGTCTTGTTATTAACTTACTTCAAAATTACTGATTAAACCAGACAAACTTTTATGTTCTACAAATTTCTTTTTTTTATGTTCTTCGACGGTAATATTTAACCGATTCAACCATTTTGTATCTGCATCAATTAAGCCAAGTATAGTTTGCAGTTCCTCCCATGCACTTAATACGCGAATACGTTTATCGCTAATTTTATTTTCTAAACTCTTCCAGCTGAAAATAAGTATAGCATAAATTAGTTGAGTAGTTATGAAATAATTTATGAATTGTAATTATTGTAGTATTTACCTGATAGGTAAGGTTTTCGACGGGCACTGCAAATCTTGAGTAGTATCAGAATCATTTGTGTTCTCATCGCTTTTTAGTTGTTCATTACATGCAGCTATTAATTCGTTATATTCTCCTTGTTTTTCTTTGTATGTATTATTTAATGCCTTAAAAATAAATTTTTAAATATTAAAAATTTATGATTTATTGAATAAGAACTATAAACCACGACTTATTTATTTTTTAGAATCGCTAAAAAATTATCGTTAATTTTTTTTGAGAAGAAATTCAATTCTATTTGGAGTAATTTTAATCACAAATAAAAATTAAATATTACTTACATCTAAACATTTCAATTCTTCTTTTAAGTTATATTCTGAACGATTGTTAAAAACTATTGTGTTATTTATTTTTGATTCTAAGTCGCTGATCAAAATTTTGAAGGCATTGAGTTTATCAAACAATTTATTTGTGTTCTAAAAATAAATATTTTGACAAATTAGATGATAAACAAAAAAATAAATAATATAATTTAAATTTACCAAAATTGTTGTAGGTAATTCAACAGTATATTTATACAATGAACCATTTAAATTATTCCAGTTTTCATTGATCTCTTTTAAACAAGATTCAGTAGTTTTTGCTAGTTGAGGATTCAATTGGGATTCTGCTTTAATCAGTTGATTTCCAGCTCCATTTAACCAATTAAATTCTTTTTGTTTAGAATTAATCTGAGATTCAAATTCAGGTTTTAATACATCAATAGCAAATTGTGGATTTTTCAAAGATTTAGTTAAATTTTTCAACTGATTTTCGGTATCAATAGTCCAATTCTTAAATCTAGTGTATCTATTGACAAAAAAATATTGTAAATAAAATGTTAATAAAATATTATGTAGTATACATTACCTATAAGTGAATTCTTGGGGTTTATACAACATATTGTCTATTTGACAAGAGTACAAGAACAATTGATATTGTAAATCCTTTTGGTGATATATTAAAAATCTAAGTTTTTGGCCAAATAAACGAATTTCTTTAGGATCTAAGGAATCTTTTAACTTGTCCCGTATATCTGTAATAGACAAAAGTTGCGGATCTAATTGTTTTAAGCTTTTATTTAATTCCTGTATTTTTTTGGACTCCGTGTTCAATGTATCAGATGGTACTATATCCTCATTTGATCCAAATTCATTTTTCAGTGTATCAAGTCTAGTTTGCACATCTTGTAATACTTTATCTATTTCTGCGTTTTGAACTTCAAAAGAGGTAGTAAGCTTTTCTATGTTTTCTAGATAACCATTCCAAACTTCTAATGACGCTTGAATCTCATTGGCTCGTTGGCTAATCGCTATCAGTTCTTTTCTGTATCCAGTTTCCGTAGATTTATCACAGAATGCGAAGATGGTATTTTGACATTCTTCTAAGTTTTTAATTTGAGAACGTTCTACAGCCAACTTATTTAATAGACTCTGAAAAATAATTTTAATCAATAAAAACGAAAGGTAAACAATTGAAATAAAGTTATAAATAAATAATTATTTTTGTATCTTATTCAGGACAATATCAAGTTTCAAGTTTAGAAATGATATACTTACAGTTATTTGAGATTTTAATTGTGGAAGCCTTTTGGTATTGATAAACTTAAGATTTAAATTTGAATGAACTTTTTCAACTTTCCATAACCAATCATATAATTTTTTGACATTTGTTCGGTATTCTTTCCAGTGGCCCAGTTTAATCCACACTTCTTGATGAGTGTTTTCAAGTTCTGTCATGGTTTCGTTGTGCAAATCCATTAAAGATTTAAATCTTTCCATTGCTACTGGCTCAGAGATGATGTCTGGCTTATTCATACAGTTGGGTATAGTATCCATCTGACTGATCAATACTTCTTGGTGTACTTGACAAAGTCGTTCATGGCTTGTTAGCGAATGATAGTCACCAGGAACAGGAGATTTTAAAAATTCTTGTACATACATCAAATAGTCATGCCATAGTTCAAATATAGCGACATTGTTTTCATTTTCAAGTAAAGAACATGATAATCTACGATATTGATTGAAAGTTTCTTTGAATATTTGCTGCCAGAGCTAAAAGAAAAAAATAATTTTCATATACATTCTATTATAAAGTGTCGTCTAATCGATTTTACCTGAAATACTTCGATTATAGAGTATGTTCGTTTTTCACATAATGGTATTTCAAAGCTATCTATATCGAAAGATTCGTCCATCTCTTTTTTCGATTTGTTCAAATCTAATAATTTAATTCTTAATTCCTTTAGGTTCTCGTCATTGTTCTTGATAGATTTAGATGAATTCTAAAAAGATAATTAATAATTTATAAATTGCATTTAATATTATTATTTAAACAATAAAATAAATAATTTGAGTACAAAATTTTGTAGTAGGTATTATAAACAAACTAAATACATATATAGTGTGTATATAATTTTATTTGTTAAAGATGAGAATAACAGTAATTACGTTTAAACTTTTATAATACCTAACACTGGAAAGGTGCTAAAAGTTTTCGGAAATTGTTTTTGTTGAATATCGCACGCTTTTGTTTTTACTTCTAGGAACCATTAAAAACTTTTTATCGGATTATTAGTAAAGAGGGCAAATCAATAAGTGGTAAAGATACCTATAGTTTTTGTATAACTACTACATTTTCATCAAATGTATTTCATAATTTCTATTAAATAATATTGAGAACATACTTTTTCGATACTATGTAAAAGTCGTTTTGCATCTTCGATATTATCTGATATTTTGTTTTTTTTATCTGCAACATCTCCGAGTGCGGCGAGAACTTTTTGGACTTTCTCTAGTTTCAAACTGAGTTCTTCTATTTCGTTTAGCGGCACGTCATCTGGATTTAATCCAATGGTTTCAGCTACGTCTGTTATCATGTTCCGTAATTCGACAAGATTTTCTTGTTGTTTATCAATTGACTTTGTATTGTCTGGTACATCTTCTGTAGTTTCAATCGACAAAAGTTTATTATTCAACCAATCATTTGTAGACTCTTTAAGTTGTTGATAACTGTGTAACGTTTTCGATGCCTTTTCATAACGTTCTACCAATTGTTTTACAGCTACTCCGGTGTCATTCCATTGCGTTTGATCGCCATAAATTATTTCGTCGATTTGGTCTTTGTCTCCTTTCCTATGCAGGGTTTCAATATCAGCCAAAATAGCTTTATTCTCTTTGTCGTAAGAACTGCGTACATCCTAAAAATAGAGCAATGGTCAATATTAAATTATAAACGTTAAAAAAATATTAATGTATTATTGGTATGTATTTTATTTTATCGAACGGACCAATTACTATTGTGGTCAAATAATTCTCATAAGTAATAAATCATGTAACCAATACACGCACATGATTAAATTCTATATTAAATACTTTAATCATTAACTATAGACATATTCGTACGGTTCATATCTGTATAGCACGTTTTGCAATATAAATGCGAATGTATTATAATTTATAAAATTCCTACTTTCCAGAATTTCAAATACTCAGTTTAGTGAAAACGACGATAAATATTCAATTAAAATATACTGATTAAACAATAATTATATATACTATTAAACAACAAATATTTATACTTTAAAATCACGAAAAATGTTGACTTTAAATAAGTTTTTGCCAATGTTTTTCAACGTTCCCAAAATTTTTAAAAATTTTTATAATTTCTTGAAAACTACCGTAAAGTTTGAATAATTATCACTTAAAAAGTATTATGATATGCATAGGTCGATGTACAGCTTATTTGAGTAATAAATTCAACTTTTTGGTTTTTAAACGTCCCATAAACCATTTAAAAAAAGTTAATAATAAATACCTAGCTATCTCAGAATCCACACAAAACCATAAATTATGTTTAGTAACTGAGTTTGTATAGATTAAGAAATATTTAAATGGTTTTTATATTTATTAAGTTTATGATAGAGTAGTATGTTTTTATGACTTGAACCATGAGTTATTTATACAGTGAACTATATGGCATTGAATAAGTTAAAATAAAAGTGTTTTATTTGCTATTCATTAAGCTAATGTTGTTTAGTATGATCAGAATGCATAATATACATTTTAGTAGTCTTCGTGTGTATAATATACTGAAGTTATTATTTCATCAAATACATTATATCGTCAATACTTATTATGTAATTGAATTTATTAAGTGTTGTAAATAACTATGGAAAAAAAATATTTATGCTTTATAGTATCTAAAAAAAAGTGTTGGTATGCGAAATTAAAAATAATATTATAATATCTATTTGTTAAAAGATTATTAGGATTGTTATTATTTATATTTTGTTTCTGAATAATATATTATTATTGATAATTAGCTAGTATCTACCTAGTATTTAGAGCACATATAAATTACAATAATATATTTGTATAGGAAATTTAAAATTCAATAAAAATAATGTCTATCATTATTTTTTAAAGTAGTTGCACCTCAATATTTTATATTTTTTAAAACTTATTCAATGTATAATCGATTATACTTAACTATAATTAAATTTTGTGTTAATTTGAATTGGAATTTTTTATATGAATAATAAGACAGAAAACTCGATAAGAAAATATAAAACTATTATAGATATGGAAATAAATAGCCTTTTTTTGTTGAATTCAAAGAATATTAGATTTAAATATGAACCTTAAAATTAGTTTATACAGTTTTGCTATTACCTATCATAGTAATTATAAACAATAGTATTTTATCAAAAGCTATTTTAATATTTTTTTTTTAAAAATAACGAAAAATATTTAAAAAATTAAACACTTATAGCATTTTAAAAATGCTTATATTATAACACAGATAATAATACCTAGATTTCAATAATATAATTTTAATGAGTGTAATATATTTTTATATAAATTAATTAGATAAAAAAAAAAAAAAAAAAAAATGTTTTTATAAATTAATTATTTATTTTAAATAATATTAATAGTTTCTTTAAACAATTATTTTAATCAAAATATTTTTTCATGATCAATACTAAATCTGTACTATTATTTTGTTATTATTCAGTTACTATGTTAGTAATAAAATGAGTGATTGTTAACCATGATGTAATCAATATCGATATCGATTTATGATGTAGGTACTATAAAAAAAATATTACTGTACTTGAAATGTAAATAAAATATTAAGGTTGGTAAAAAGATAACAAACTGTATGAGAAAAACCCATTAAAATAAATAATACTTATTCTTAATGAGACCTTCGATTTAAATATTTGTTTACTTTGAACTGGAAATGACAAAATAAGATAGGATTTCAATTAAGTTAAGTAAAGTTTTAAACCTAATTTGTAATTCTGTTTTATTAGAAATAATTAATATTTTAAGGATATAAAAAATTTAAAGCTTGAAAATTATTTTTTATCACTTAATTTTTAAATATAGGTTATCATCGTTCTACAAATTGATATTATAAACAGCTAAATTGTGTAACCTAAAGTTTGTTTACTTAATACCATTTGTTTATGTTTTTATCTAAAAAATAGGCAGTAGGTATGTTAATCATTATTATACGGTTAAAGTTGGAATTATTTTTATACTCAAATATATTTTAATTATTAATATAGACTATGGAATAATATCAATATTACAATTTTTATTAAAATTAAAACTTTTAAATACATATTAATGTACGACATAATGTTCATTAAAATAACAAAAGTAGAATCTTATTTTACTCACTAAAATATTATTTGTATTAATATTAAATTTATTAGTTTCATAAATTAAAAAATTATTATTTATTACCTACTATGAAATATCATAGTATTATCACTTAATAAAGTGATTACGTTTTGTTATTAATTCAGTTTTTTAACACAATTATTTTGCAATAGTGGGTAAAATTATTAGTGTATACTTATAAATAAAAATAAATAGATTTTTGACTTCCTAAACGGAGGTTTTGTATTTATAGTTAATTATTATGCATTTTTTAGTATTATCAAAATAAAAATGTTGAAAATTTGATTATTTATAAATTAAATTATTTTTATCCAGAATCATATAATTTTACTTTATTAAAAATAAATAAAATATAATATAACGACAGTCATAAATGTTGAGTCAACTTTTATAGAAAAAATAATTTACCCATTTTATTAAATAAATTGACTGTGAATTTTTTTAAAACCGGTTACTATAATATAATATTTATATACCTTTATTTTAGATTCAATATCGGTATAGTACACTGCGTAATAGATAAATGTACGAGCCGTTAACTATTAACAATTAATCTAACCTCGCGTAAATTTTTTTTATTTTCTCGTCAGAATCCATCATCAGCGGTACTCAATAATTATTATTGTATTAATCGTTATTATTATTGTCGTGTTATTATGAGTGTTACCCAATCGTTTTACTCGGTCCTATAGCCGGGCTGCAGCGTTTGGGTGTACACAGCTGCCGAAAGCACGAATTCCACACAAAAACTGTGTCAGCGGCGGCGTTCACTACAAAAAATTTAAAAAAATTTTGACACGTACACACTGTACTACTGCCGGCACGAGACTATCGCGTGCGGCTGGCGGCAGCGTCGTCGCTGTTGCCTCGTCGCTCATCATAATACGAGTACACGGATAAATGGCGCGATAAACGAAGTACGGGGGCATTACGTCTATCAGCCACGTTTTATTTTCCGAACGCGTGTGTTAAAACAACTGTAATTGTAGATGTGCATCGGAGTTATATTGGCAATACATTTATGGACGTGGATACCTATTATACTAATTTTTAAAATCATACTTCTCGAATAGATAATTTTATAGCTCCGGTTAGATTGAATTTTAAAATATTTTTTCTCTCTGTATAAATGTAATCGAACTCATAGGTTTCAAATTAAGTGTTACGTTGGTGCGACAATAATATGGAAATGAAAATCCAATCGTTCGACTACAAATTAAAATATCATCTTTTTTTGTTATTAATTCAGTGATTATGAATTTAATGAACTAGAAATATTACAGAACCCATGAAATATGCATACAATAATAAACTCAAAGACAAATATGCAAAATAAACTACATTTTTTTTAAATCGTGTATATAATTTGAAAATTGGTGTTGAATGGTAATAAAGTGTAAACATATAATATAATAAAATTGTATACAAACAAATAAATATTCAATGAAATAAATAAATAAGTATATTATAAAAAAATCATGTTCAAGTTTTATTTGTCTAAATAAATCATATCAACCTTTCCCCCAAATACGCAAAATTAGCAATTAAGCAAGCTTTTATAATAGGTAAATGTATTGATGTCTAAAATATAAGTGTTCAAAATAAGAGATTACAATTTTAGATTGGTGATATCTTTCATTTATTCAGATCTCACATATTTTAAACTTATAATGAAATTCATCGAAATGCAAAACCATAAAAAAATGTATGATGTTTAATAAATAATATTCAATTAATTAAATATAATATCATGGGAAATTACATGTGTGTGTAATATAGGTATAGTGACACTTAAAGTATATTACAGTGAGAATTTAGAGATAATATTAGTAGGTATAAGGTTTATTGCTTAGTGACCAATTTTAAACATCTTCGTCAGCCCATTGATTAAAATAGCATACCGCCATCGCCATAAGCAATCGACTCCAAAACGGTAGGCTAGTGGGTACCATTCTACAGTACAGTAAGTGTCGAGTTGATTAATGAATGTAATCAATTTTCATTAAATTATATTATAAATTAATCTACATATTTTGAAAATTTAATCGCATACATATAGTAAAATTTATAGTATACATACTAGTAGGTAACAAATTCCTACGAATAATGTTATTGAATTATAATAAAATAATTATGAAATTTCTTCTTCAAATGCTTACAAAATAAATTGTACGTACTTAATTCTTTTAAATATTTTTATATAGCTAAAAATAAGATAATATGTGAGATCTTGTGCACAATTTTCAAACTTTTTTTTACCAAGCGTAAACATTATTATTATTGTCATTTAGAGAAATAAAATAAAAAATAAAAAAAAAATGTCATAAATAATTCAAAAATAGTCAAAATATTTTAACATGACATAATAATTAAAAAATGTTATTATACGTAAAAAATTATCATATAGGTACATTTTTGGTGAAAATTTCAAGTATCTACAGTTATTTGTTTTTGAATTATACGAAAACACAAAATTGATTTTTTTGAAAATTACTTATGTCTAGAGAGCAGATTTTTAAGTTTTTACATATTTTTATTGGTTTTATGCAGCTTTATGAGAGTGAAAAATGTGGACGATTTATCCATTACAGAGTTCGTAGGAAAAAATTTATTTAGCATATTAAAGCATATTTTGGACTGAAGAGAATATTTAGCCTATTTTTCATATTTTAGAATATATTCTATTATTGTTCATAAAAAATCATATTACACATTATTAATTTATCGATTTGTGATATTTTCCAGCAACAATTTTTTCTAGAAAAAAAATTATTTTATATAAGAATGATAAAAATTAAAAATCATTCAATTATATACTTGTTTGTAATCAAATTTCTAATGTTGGTCATTCTGTTACTCTTAATCCATGATTGTACTTACGATCCTATAATAACATAATAAGAATGATCCTAATAATAAATCTATTTTATTTTTACTTTTATATTGTTTATTATTTTAACTTTAATGTCTGACGATTTAGTTAAATTTGTAATATTCATTTTTGTTTTTTAAAATGCCGAAAATTAACAAAAGTTTAAAATATTCATATACCTATGAACTGTTTTGTATTTTTTATAATTAAATATTCTATATGTTACCAAAAAGGAACGGTACATAAGTTATTTATTGTTTTTATTGAATTATTTTGGAAAAAAACAAATCATATTATCTGCATATTTACAAATTTAAGGAATATTTAGAGAATATTTTAGGGTTTTTTTAAAACATATTAGCATCATATTTTAAGCTTTTAAGAACCCAAAAATCCGCTCTTTACTTATGTCTAAACATTTCATTTTTTCCTAAAAAAATATTAGGTATTTTTAATTTAAACCTTTTTAAATTACAAACTAGACCCAATTCATCATTATAAAGTATTTTTCAACTATTTGTCGTGTGTAAACATCATACACACACACACATATTATTGTGAATTAATACATTCATTGCTCCGCTTATCATCTAATAAAAAATAGGACACGTTAAAATATCTGTAGAATTAGCTAGGGTATCAAATCCGTTGGCACATGTACTCAATCGACTACTAGACTATGGCCCACAACTAGTGTATCAAATTTTGGTGAATAAAAAATATGTAATCAATATTATAAATCACATATTACGATTAATTAATAAACGTAATATTTATGAAGTGAATAATTCTTTATCGGCGTGCATTGGTGACAATTTGCGGTTCAAAGCGATGAAGTGTTTAAGGAGACCCGCGAGCAGCTCACGTATACTGCAGTTTGCGAGGGGCATCGTCGACGTTTTTCGAAGTGACGACCGACGAAATGTATACGAGCACCAAATACTTTAGCACTTACCCCGACGGTCATAATATATATGTATATATTATAACAGAACACGGGATGGGAACACGTACCGGAAATAGAATGGTTTTATTTTCGTACGCACATGTCGTTCAGTCTTGGCTAACGTTGGAAGAATGCGCCGTACATGACTGTCGAAAATCAGTGGAATTCATTAGCTGTCGTCGGTGGAAAACGTTTATGGAAATGACTCTTTAAGTCAGTAATATTTTTTTCAAATATTACTATTTGAGTTACTGCGTTCGACACTACGACGCTGCAAAGCATATACTTGTGTATCGGCGAATCTTCCGCCGTCAAATTATTGTCGTTTAACGAGGCAATATTATTGTTGTTAGGCAATATCGAAAAATTGTGTCTTATGGACCTCTTGCACAATATTAAAGTTAGGCGAGAGAAAGCATTTTTGTGTTCACAAATCGGTAATTCGAGACTTAGAAAAAAAAACCTATGTGAATGCCTTTGTACTCACGAATGATGTGTTAACATCTTAGCTGCAGTACGACTTTGATTGGGGAATATAATGTCATGGTTTGAGTGGGAATTTGTATAATAAGGTAACAATAATCATACAAAGATCGCATTCTCTTTAAAATTTATATTTAACTTTTTTATTTTTATTTATATATAAATATTTTTTTTATTATTATATATAATTTATATATTGTGACACGAGATTTTTATATATTAGATATTATATTATATTATGTATGTTGTGTAGCCTGCACGAATACCATGCGCAATAGCCTCACACACGCACACTCAAGCATTCACATCTACATGACTTACGCCTGACGCTCGATTCCCCAAGAAGGTCGTACTACAAACCGATAGCATAGATGTTTACACATCAAAAAAGTATATCACTAATTTAAAGATTTAAATTTTTATTTGGATACATTTAAGTCGTGGTTATATGAACAATATTTTGATATTATAATATTCTGTAATTTTGTAAAATGTTTTGAGACACTCATGTTACAATGAAATTTTTTTAAATACTATTATTTTTATTGTTAGATTAACGACAAGGTATGAACTATGAGGTATCTATAAATTTATGTTGTTATATTATAAAAAAAGTGTCTTTATATACATTTTTTTTTTTATTAGTTTTATCGATTTTTATAATATTTTATTGTGATTGACATTATTTAAACGATTTTTATAGTATAGTTTTACGAGAAAATTTCCTACTGAAAAGTGATAAAATTATTGTTATTTGTAACAAAAAAGTATTTTAATTCACATACATCGGCAGTAGTAAATAAATAACTATTTATAGATTTAAAGATCTATTTATATTTTTTCATATTATTACGTAGATAAATTTTTGAAAGTCAAAAGTAAACAAATAAAATAAGATATTGTTTACTATGGAAACCGTTATCAAAAATAATTTTTACAGCAAACATAGATTTTGATTAAAGTCACCACTTAATTTCTAAAAAATTAATTTAAACAAAATTTATAAAATCATACCATGTCTAATAATAATATGAATTAATATGTTATTATAAATTAAAACTCTTGAAATACATACCTTGAGGTGCTTCAATATTGCTTCTAAATGTTTTCCAGCTAGAGTATCCGAGTACGATGGGATTAAAGTTAAATTGTTTATATGATTATTTTTAATTTTAATTTTTAATAATAGCTCATCGACCATTGTCCAAAAGTTGCATTTATTTTCTAACGTTTTGAGTGTATTTTGATGTTTTGTTTTTAAGTGTTTATACTGTTTTTCAACTTCATTCACTTCGGATTCTAATGTTTTTCTGTCTTTTTTAAAGTGTTTAAGATTATCTTTTAATTGTTTCAACTGCTGAGAAGTCAACGATAGCGTTTGTTGCATATTTTTGATATTGTCCGAAATTTGCTGTAAGTTTTAAAAGCGGTTAATAATTTTTTTAAATTAAATAAGTATATAATTATTTCAACTTACAAGGTACGTTTTGAATATTGCTGTTTCAGAAGTGTGCCTGTCTTTATGCGATTCATTTTCCAATATCGAAAAAGTGAAATCAACATTGTTTATATCGTTAGTTAGTTCGAATAATGAATTACGTAATATTTCAGTTTTACTATTCAAATCTGAATAATCTTTTAGTTGACTATTACATTGACTTTTGAAGGCGCTCAATTGTTGGTTATTATTCTCAAGACTCTCGACGGCCATTATTTCAAATGAAATACCCTGAAAATCGAACAAAATAGTTTAATTTAATTTAGATTAAATTAAAAATTATTTATTTTTACATACTTTAAGTGCCTTAATATGGTCCAATAACGTTTCTTTTGGTTTTTCTAAAGCGGTTTCTAGGTGTTTAAATATTTTTGAAATATCACTATTGTCCACGGTAAACGTTGTTTTATGTAGTTTATCTTTTAATGTTTTACATTCTGTTGCAAATGTCCTCATGGTTTCAATTTCACTTTGCCCATTTGAGATAGGTAAGATATCGAGTGATTCATTTAAACTATCGGAACAAGTTCTAATAGATTCTTCTAAAATCTCCAACTCGTATCGAATTATCTAATAAAAAATTTTACAAATAAATACATATAGTACAATTATTAATAGTTATAATTCTCACATTGTTATCGATGATTTTCTGATTTGCTGTAATATCTTTCAAACTTGATTCAATATCGTTCTTGAGATCGCTGTACTTGTCAAATTTTTTCTTGAAAGTTATCAAACGCATTTCCTTTGCTTTTAAGTTATTCTTCAATTTGAATGTGTCATTGGTATGCTGCTCACATACATACAATAATGGTTTCATATCAATTTGATTCTGGAGTTTTTCTATTATATGCTTCAAATATATAAGTTTGTCGTGATGAATAGTCACATTTATGATTGTATTCTATGAACAAGACGTCAAAAATATTACCAAATTAGTCCATAAAAATATAAATGTTTGAACATTTTTTAGTAATATTTAAAAACGATAATAAATACTGAATTTAATTATTTGATTTAATATTTACTTGAGTGTTGGACAGCGTTTGAACGTAATTAATTGATGTTATTTTCGTTAGATCAAGAATAGACACTCCAACTTCATCTAACCATTTTTGCTCAGCTGTTAAAGTATCTTCTAAACGAGTCCACTCATGTTGAATAGATAAAAGTTGTTTTATATTTAACAGCGTATTATTTAGTTCAACATCCAAATGTTTCATGACATTTTTATCGGGTTTCTGAGATTCCAATAATGTTTTTAAGTTTACCAGTTTTGTAGCAATATGGTGATATTTATCAAGATCCTCCTAAAAAAATATTGCCATAGGCGATAAGTTAATATTAAAAATAACAATAAATTATTTTAAAGTCTACCATACCAGAACATGTTTGATGTTGAAATATTTATTTGAATTTTTATTACAATTTTTTACAGGTCCGCAAACTAGTTCTAATTGTTTAGAGTTCATATTGGTGAAATTATCTTTTTCAATTTCATCAATAAAAAGTTTAATGGTATTTCCTAATTCTTTATCTAGTTTAATCGCAGATTTTAAATATTTGTATGTGTCGTCTGGCAATTTATTTTTAAAGTTATATTTTAATTTATGAATACTTATAATATCATATAATTCTTCAATAACTAATTGATTATCAGTGAATAATATTCCCAATTTTTTGAGTTTTTCCTAAAAAATATAAATGTAATCAGTATTAAAGAAACAAAATTAAAGCTTATAAATAATATATTAAGTATTCTATTCAAAATGGTGTACAGTATTAATAAAATAAAATGTTAATAATTACTAACTTGATTTGATAATTTTCCTTTCTTTAACAGTTCAAAATCTGATTTATATTGTTCTAATTTCTTATAAACATTATCAATAGCTGAAATTTGATTTTGCCAATCTACTAAATCAACATCCTCATTGATAGTATCAATCTGACCTTTAACTAATTTTGTCTTATTTTGGAGTTTTTCTATTAAAGATTTAATTTTTTCATATTCTTCAGTAGTATTAATGTGTTTTTCCTTTATGTTAGAAACATCTTTTACAACTGATTCAATTTGATTTAAGATTTGTTTTGAATTTATAGGTACTTCCGATAAACATTCAACGTCAGCGTCAATGAATTTCTAAACAAAAACATTGAAATAATCAAATAATATCCTATAAAATACTAAAAAATACTAAATCTACAGCCAAAAAGCTGAAAAAAAAATTAAATTAATATTATTCAATTTCATACTTAAATATAAATATCCATATTAAGAATTCAAAAGAGTTTAACATATGAATAGTAAACATAAATTAAAATCAGTTATAAAATTTTGAAAAGTAAAAGATGAGACAAAAAATAACAAAATAATATTATAAATAAATATATAAAAATTACATTATTAATTGATTAATGATTGCAGAAAGCAAATTATACAAAAATAATGCATTATAAACATATAACATTAAAACTTTTAAAAAATATGATCAAACAAGCAATTATACAACAAGAAAATTGAATATAGTGATAAACAATTAAAAAACTTTGTAAAATAATATATCAATGTAAAATAAAACAATAAATTATGTAAATAAAATTTTTTTAACATGGATATAATTGACGATAAACAGTAAAAATATATAAAATCATAAAATATTAACCACTAACATAACAAATGTGCAAATACAAAAACCAATTTTCTAAGGCATATCAACAGCTTGTCATAAAAATAATATCTATAATTAAATTAAAAACTAAAAA